GACGAAGAACAGGTTCACCATGGCCTCACCAGCCCACAAGAGCATGACAAAAGGCATCCACATGAAGCCAGTCGCGAGTTTGGGCATAGCATATGGTCGCCAAGGATCATCAACGGCACAGGTCCAATGCTCGTGCAAGACAATGAGACAGGCGATTCCTCGAAGGCCATCCAGGGCAGAAATCTTGTCGGCTGGAGTCGAGGTTGATGCCTTTACGGATTTGGACCTCGAGGCAAAGCTCGGGGTCAGCCATAGCAGAAGTCTGTGAACCGCTGTGGTAAAGGGTTGAGCTACATCGACCGGACAGAGGTTAGTACTCGACCAGCCCTATCCTAGATACAAAAAGTCTGATCTTACCGCCATTTCTGAGGACTGCAAAGTTTGAGCGTTCGTTGTTCATGGATCGAGCATTGGAAAAGCCCTCGCCGCCACCTTCAGTCATGATATCGGCGAGGTGCGTCTCGAGACCATCCGAGTACTTCTGAAGTCGTCAGCAAGTATTGGGTAAGTAAGAGTAAAACTAGTATAGCGTGCGGGAAGGGTGGCGTCCCACATGCCCCTGAACTGTTTGCGTGGTGCTTGGACTTTTCTTGGCTGGAGGATAAATCGGGAATGATCATGGTGAATGGTGAGCAAGAGAGGTGGAGTTTCAAGTCCCCTCCTCTTTCCAATCCATCTTGTCCGTGATCGATGACTGATGACTTACGATTGACTATCAAATGATGCAAGGATTGGCCACGGCTTCCGTAACTATTGCTGACGCCGTATCTCTCTGTCCCATGACCATTCTGGCATGATCGTCAGGTACCCGGACGGAGCGCCGCGGATGGACAGGCCCTGCCCTGCCTGCCTATCTGGTGTGCCTAGAGAGAGAATGTGACTGCCAATCGTTTGTGGGATTTGATACACGGGCAAGAACCCACTTTGGAAGGTACGATCGATGCTTGGGAAGTTGATGCATGTGACAGACTGACAGTCCCAAGCTGATGTCATGAAATTCTCGATCCTAATGCCCATCTGGAGTTTCTAATAATAATATACGAGATACTCACTTTCACCAGTAGGATAGCCATGTCCTTATTTCAACGCATCTTGGCTGTCTATTCGTACCAGTAAAGAAGAATTCCTGACACTGGGGGCCAGTTTGGGCTCTAGACTTTTGGTGGCGGTTACCATGTCGCCATAATTTAGTGGCTGATGGAAGATTTCATACTCGGTAAACCTGCCCAGTTAGAACGCCCCTGAAAAATACTCAATACATGTATTCGTACTTGTACATACACCACCTGTTCTTCCCTTGACTCGGTACCTACAATGATACAAGAGACCCGCTTCTTCGATCCGAAATTGCAAACGCCCACAACCTTCAGCTCGCCTAGCAAAAGCCCCTAATCCCCCCCCCCCAAAAAAGAATGTCTTGCAAGGGACTCTGGTCAGTTTGACGCTCAAGACCTAAGAATGGCTGGTTCCATGTCTCCACGGATGACATGCACGACTGTTTGTCCTCCGTAGTAGTCGTAGTAGCTCGGGCCTTATCGCGTCGTCCATATCTCAACAGATCCGCTGGCGGATCTCACTACCTCCCCCGTACTGGCTCTTCGCGGCGGTGGGCTGTCACGCTGTCAAACTCACCTAACTCACCTCAGGGGGGGGAGAAAAAGGCGGCTCGAGTGGCATTATTTGCCTTTGTGTTTATCCCACCATGTCCTGAATATTGAATATTTGACATTGGACGACTACTCCTCTTAGTTCTTCCCCATACTTACCATGCTGCGAATATGAGGTCGAAGTTACGGGCCTGGTCGACTGTCACTTTCTCGATATGCAATCCACCACCTCTTCGGTCAAGATGAAGCTCGAAACCCTGCAGCAGTATGCTATGCCTGGGAAGATCCCGTGGACAAGTCGCAAAGTCAGAATCATTGCTGTCTTGTGCGGGATACTGTGTCTACGCTTCTTCCTAGGGGCACTCGACGTAAAACCCCTCCAGGTATGCGGCATACAACCAAACAAGGTGGCTCATGTTCTCTGGCTAACTCTTACACTACAGACTCGATTGCCTCATGCGCTCCGCCAGCAGACCTACCTTGATCAGAACGGCTTTCAGTCGATCCCCATAACCGGCTTCGTCAACACCGGAGACCTCGCGAGTCGCACTTGCGAAGACCTCAGACATGAAGGAGAACTACAGGTGCACACGAGCTTGTACCTCGAAGATGACTTGGAGCACATTGCACGATCGCTGGCCGGCCACCCCATGATTGACTATTCCCAACAAGAGAAGGGCTTGACATTCCGCCATATGGTGGCCAAAACCTGGGCGAGGTTATCAGGGTCGAGTGTGTGGATCGAGAAGTTCCAGGTCTTCTTGACCGTGACCAGAGTCATCTTCTACGACAACGGGCTCCGACACAAGCCTGTGATTAGTTTTCTGGCGGGCCAACTCCACGACGAAAACTGGAACGAGCTGAAGAACTATACCATCCAGTGGCAGAGCGAAGAGATCAAATTCCCCACCGTGTTCAACATCCCCGCGCCCTTCAAGCAGGGTGACCGGTATTTTGGCCCTGAAGACCCCCGTGTGATTCTCGAGGAGGGGGTGGATGATGCTGAGCCCATTGTGACCTTCAACATGCTCTACGACCTCAAAACCGGAGACCGCGCCATGTACATCTTCCGGCCCTTTTCCAACGACACCACCGTCCTGACCATCACGGGCCAGACCGAGAGGGCGCACGCGGAAAAGAACTGGGCCCCCTTCTTCATCAACGAGCACGAGCCGATCTCGCCAGGACACTACAAGTGGCCCAGCCACTATATCCATTTCATCTACGACTTCAACCCACTGAGGGTGCTCAAATGCCACACCCTCAACGGCTGGTGCCATTTTGTCTACGAGCAGAAAGTTCCCGATGCGCTGAAAGGATCGGGCATCAATGCGAATGGGCGCATGACGGGCGGGACCAACATGGTGCCGCTGCAGCTGGAAACACGCTCCAACCTCCACGCATGGGTCGGCTTCCCCAGGTCTCACATCAACATCGGGTGCACCGACGACTTGGCCATGTACCGGCCCGAGCTGATGATCATGACGGCGCACGGCGACCACTTCTACCTCAGCTTCATGTCCGGGCCCATTGACTTTGGCACGGCGGCCATGACGCCCGAGGCTATTGGTGATCCGTGCGGCGAGGGCAAGATCGTCATCGCCAACAGTATCGCCAGGTGGGATCGTCGGCCCAAGCACGACGTCCTGACACTGACCCTCTCGGTGGCCGACTCGACCGTCCAGATCATGCAGCTGGCGAGCCTCTCCAAGTTCGTCAGCCAGCTGCCCCACGTCGCCCATCTAGACGGCGTCTTCCTCGCCGACATGTCCACCCGGAACAAGACCGAGTGGGATCTACGGTACACGGCCGTCAGCAAAGACGTCCTCGACTGTACCATGGAGGTGGCCTCGTACTACTCGGAGATTATCGCGGCTCCCTTCAAGGGACTGTCCAAGGAAGAGCTCTCGTATGAAAACGGCAAATGGGACTGGAAGGCCGGAGCAGTCATATGAGGGGACACGAGAAATTGACAGAATATCGTGTTCTTTGCTGGCCCTTGAAAGTTTTGGTCACTGCCCCTGAGAAGGAATGACAGACGGCAATATTGACTCGCAAATCCCACCGTTTGAATACATGGAGAAAAGACCACACACACGCCAGCATACACGAAAACACACTCTCTCCCCCGTGCAAGTCATGTGCGACTGTCCCGTTACGAAACTACTTCAACACTACCCGGTATTCTTTTGTGTGTATAAAGAGAAACAGCGCGGGCCGAAATCACAGGGATTTTCGACAACAATAATCTTTTTCCCAAATTTTCCACCTTTTATTTCGGTGGCTCTCCCATGCCAAAAGAGGCGACAACCAAGAAACAAGAGTGTCCCTCAGGAAGCATCATGACCCACGCGCCCGAGGAGGGCAGTCTCGAGGGTTCAAGAATAATGTCATGTTTATTTTTTTACTTATTTTTCCCCTCATGATGAAGGCAGGCAGCGATTTTCTAGTGACGGGAATCAAATCTAGATGGCGGGCTTTTCCTGGTTTACGGGACTGATATCCATTATGATATATATTATATCTAGAAGACTGGCACGTGAAGAAGCCAACAGGGGAGCGAGGATGAATCTCGATCACATCCCTTCTGAAGGGGTTCCAGCTCATGTACCCTACGGACTATGTACGTATGAAGGTACACAAGTACGACAGAGAGATATCTAGCTAGAGAGGAAATGGGCAGATCGAGGCCCAGTCGTGAAGACAGCCAAGATGGTCTGTCTGAGCTAGCTTCTTTACTGTCCGCGTTTATGTCTTTTACTCTACTGAATATCTGTGGAGACAGTACTGTAAGCCAATTACCATGAATTCAGAGGCACAGAAGGGACAGAATCACACGTGTGAAAATGAATGGAGTCTACTCAGATGCCGCTGACAAACGAGGCAAATCCTACTCCTATAAGTCGTAAACACGGAATAGGTGATTGCGAGATCAACACCCAAAGATTCCGAGGCGAAGAGGACGACGAAGAAAAGAAAAGAAGAGGAAAGGGGGAGAGGGAACATAAAAGACCATATACATTTTCGTCATCTCCGACGAACGACGTGAGAAATCCCACCCAGATATCCCGTCTGTCTCGTCTCTATATACCCGAGTTACTCTCTTACTCTTTATACCCTCTCTCTCTATATCTGGAGATTATTTCCCAAGAGACTCCCCGACACCTTCAACACCCAAAACACCCTTCGAACGGGGGTTAAACATGATTGTCCCCAAACCCCAAAGACCAAGATCCCCCGATGTCACAAAAGTCCCAAACACAAACTCAAACCCCAAAACCCAAACCTAAGACGCTCAAAAATTCATGAGATTTGAAAGCAGGCTCAAGAGAAAAGGGGATCGATATCAAGCTCAAAAGAGAAGAGAAAAGTGAAAAAAAAAAAGGCAAGGGGTCAATTATTCATCTCTATCTTCTTTCTCGTCCAGGCGTAGCGGATGTGCTCGGCCTCGGTGATGATGGACTGCAGGCGCTCGAGGAACTCGCGGCTCAGGGGCCGCCAGCGCGATTCGTCGTGCTGGGGACAGCCGCGGGCGTCTTCGGTCCAGTCGCGCCAGTTCCAAGAGGCCTGGGTGGCGAGGACTTGGGTCTCGTTGGCGGGTTGGGCGAGGGTGGCGTTGGAGACGCGGTCCGGGTCGCCATCGCCGTCACCCTCGAGATCGAGATCGAGGTCCAGCTCGAGAGGCACCTGGGTCAGGTTCGCGGCGGCGGTGGTGCGGATGGTCTGGTCGATCGGGTCGCCCAGGTACCAGTGGGTCCAGTTGGCGAAGCCGAGCGACTTGTCCTCCTTGTTCTGCCAGATGCCCATGTTTGTCCAAAAGGGCTCGTCGTCGTCGGCGTCCGAGTGCACCATGTGCGGCGAGCAGATGCGCGGCGTCTTGAACACGACAGCCTCGGACGTGCTCAGGGCCTCGGAGAAGCGGGCCGCGTACCACGGCTCAAAGGCGTAGGGCACCCCCGTCAGCTCCGCCGCCAGCCAGTACGACTCCTTGTCCCCCCAGAAGGTGTCCCAGGTGATGGCGTCGCGCACGTCTTGCACGTTCATCCACGCCGCGAACAGCGCCGTCACGTACAGCTCCGGCCGCGACTTGTCAAAGTAGACGACGGCCGAGTCGGCCTCCTCGCCAATGTACCCCTTGTAGAAGAGCGAGCTGCTGTTGAGCCGCTGCGACGGCTGCCGCCCCGCGCGCACGAGCTGCTCCGCCACAAACCGCCGCCGGTTTTCGCTGTGGTCCATCGTCACGGCACGGTCGTGGAAGAAGAGAGTCCCCGTCTCCTGCAGGCCCTCGTAGTCGGTCCACGCCCGCTCCGGGTTCGAGAAGAAGACGGCGTCGGCGTCGACGAGGATCGTCCGCGGGAATTTACTGGCGATGAGGGCGAACGGTTTGGTCGCCCACCCTTTGAGCCCGATGAGGGAGTTGTCAAAGATCTTGGTGAGGTCGAGGAATTGTATGTCCTTGCTGGTCGCGCGGAGGAATGTCCGCGTGTGCGGCGACAGGTCGGAGTCGCCGGCGTAGGCGATCTCGATGGGCAGTTCGTTCTTGAGCACCTTTTTCAGGTTGGTGATCAGGAAGAGGGCGTCTTCGACGTTGCCGTCCCCGACGCAGACGACGATCCCCGTCTTCAGGTCCGGCTTCTTCTTGTCCTTGGACCAGGGTTTCGACTGTTTGCTGGACGAGTGTTTCCACGGCACATAGGCCAATTTGTCCTCGTTCCACCAGGGGAAGAGATGGACCAGGGAATCCTTCAGACGGCTGCGATCGAGCGTCTGTTCCCGCATGTAGAGCCCCGCGAGCTGCGACAGAGCCGCCACTTGGTTGGCCACCGAGGCGAAGTCCGGCAGCGCGACATCGAGGGGGTATTCGGCCACGTAGGTGTGCAGGTCGGTGACGAGGCGCTCGGTCTTGTGTTGTTCGACGACGACATAGCGGAAATAGACGAGCGTGAGCAACGGCAACAAAAGAATCAAAAGGATGCTGGACGACGGCCTTTTGCGTACCGTGCCCGTCAGCATAGCAAACATGGTTGGGGGTTTGGTGGCCGGCCCAGACGGACGTTGGGGGGCAACGTCACTCACACTCACGTGTGCGCGGCGCAGACAAGACGACGACGATCGGTGACTGGATAACTTGAAGCTTGAGCCATGTATATGTACGAGTATAAGTGTGAGTATCGAGTATGAGTAGAAAGGATGTTTGAACGTGGGGGCTCTTTTTTGGCCCTGGAGGTGTGGTGTGTGGTACTACTCTGTAAACACCATCCCACCCCTCCCCATTATTCACTTTTCTTCCAGACACGCGGCAACCACCAGCAAAGGAGTTCGACAAGGGACTGGACTTGGGACGGCTAGGTGGGACCTGTGGTGCTGGTGTGAATGAGTTCCGAAGCGCCAGGGCCCAGCGGTCCCCCCCATTTGGATCTGATCGAATATCAGGGGGAAGGGAAAGGCAAAAAGACTCCCGTTAGTCTAGCGAAGTCCAAAAAGTGGGTAAGGCGCCACGGTTTCCGAAAGCAGCTCGGAACTTTACCCAATGGTAACAACATGAGAGACGAGGAGGAGGGGCCTGAAGACGTTCCAGCAACCCAAGACGTGTTTTTGCTTTTCACCACAAAACAAAAGATCTTTTGGACTAAGGCAAGCGCGTTAAGGGGCCAAGACGTGATCCAATATCGTCCTCTTGGAGCCGTTTTGCTCACCTTGTCTCCATCCAGAAAGGCAATGGACCTCTCCAAACTCAGACCCATGCCAGCCGTAATCTGTAATCTTGCTCAGATATCTACTCGTACTCCATTTCTGGACAGGTCCCAAGGTGGGTTGATGCGGTGTGCGTTCTCTTCTTTTTCGCAGCTGGGGTGACAATGTACTCGGAGTAAAACGGAACCGATCTAACCCCTTTCGGATGTCGGATCCAATAATGTGGGTCTTTCGTCAGGGGACGCTTCTGCAGGTACAGCATGGTCTGGAACTTGGCTGCATCAGACACCTTGGTGCAGAAGAAAATCTGTTTGATTGACTGACTGATCGTCGTCTCATCCATGCTCTAAGTGAGTGACCTTATCGCTGGGTGCTCTGGAGGCAACACAGAGGTTGATCATGGCGTAATGTCGCAGTCAGGCACAACTCTGTCCCTGAATCCCTGGGATGATTGTGATTGTTCTCCCAAAGCAGACGGCTCTTGTTCCGTGAGAAAAACCTAAGCAAGCCAGAGGCGTACGTTAGTCAATAGGGCTGCAGATGGATTTCTCAGGAGTGCAGTTCCTGGTCGCCAATCAACGTCCCTGGACTGTTTCTTGGGAGGGCAAGTAACGAGTAGCAGGGCATGGGTTGAGGATGAGACAAACACTCCAGGTCTGGGCTCTCTTCGGCACCATCGGGCTCCTCCTGACCGACACCGCAGAATCTCGCCTCAGGCCCCAGGGCCGTTTGGCAACATGAGTAACTTACCCTCGCCGTGGCTGGCTGGGCTGGAATTTTGAGGCTAGGGGTAAACACCGCTGCAGGGTTTAGCGAAGTACTGGTGGGAACAAAAAGATAAGAGTTGAGCTTGTACGTACGAGGTACAAGTACAAACCTGGCCTGATGGCCCTCATCCACTCGGATGTACTGGTATGAATCGCCGCCAGAGATCCACATTATGAAACCGGCCACCGTTGGTACCGTACATACGAGTACCAGTACAGATACAATACTCCGTACTTGCTGAAGCGCAATAGTTTTCCAGACGCTTATTCCGTAAATCATGGGCCTTTCCACCCAATAAGCAGGAATACCCAGTACCGGTAGAGGCATGTGCGGCTCTTCCCTTTAGTCGCATGCGCGCCGGTGTTTCAGGTGGTTGCCGATTGGCAGCGCGTAGATTTTTCTAGTTCAGCTGGTGACAAAAGTCATGGCCACCCATCCACCTCAGCCGGTTCCAAAGCGCCGAGATCTGTGACTGCATACCCCGTACATTATTGAACGCCTCGAAACTGCCAAAGTAGTTATGCGGTAGGACGTTCTTGTCTGTGTCGACCGTTGTTTGCTCCAAGCTTCTTTCCTTCAACAGTCTCGTATGCCTAAACTCTCTTCGCTGGTTTTCCCCCTTAGCAGCGACCATCAAGAAGCACATGGGAGATTCACAAACAGGATGGTGCGTAACCCGCAAAGAAACATCGAACAGGGTTCGCCCACCAGGGAATCCTCCACTCTGTTCTTCAACAGGACAAAGACTGGACCCCTGACTGAACCCATCCACTTCCGCGTCCAACGGAGTGGATTTGACCAAATTTAAGCATCCCCCGAGGGGCTCAATTAGCCTCGCATGATTCTTCAATGGATCTCCGACACGAAGTGCAAAACTGTTCTGAGAATTTTTTGCATGGAGTAAAAATGCCAATGTTTGACATGTGGCCAGATACGCGGTGACTGAATTTTGCCATCAATAATCGTGGCAACGGCAACCCTGGTGAATTGCTAAGGGGGCGTCGCAGAAAGCAAAATGCCATTGCATGCATGGAAAACACGGGTGGATTTCTCTACACCAAGTCCAGAACACGACGTGATAGATTGTACAACGACCCGCGTTGTCATCACGTCACCGGGCTGGTCGATGACCTGATCGTCCTGATCGGCCCTTCATATCTCCTCGGGTTGTTCGTCTATGGATATTAGTTGCGTTGCGATCGTCTGCTTCGGGTAATTGGATGCTCCTGATCCAGGGTAGCGGACATACTCGTCACCGCCACCACCAGGAGATGCCGCAGGGAAGAGGTTGAGATTGGCCTTGAGGAAAGTCGAAGACGTAGGCACATGTCGTTCAGGTTTGGTCTGGTTGGTCGTGGTCTCAGCAGATCGTGTTGGTTGGGTGAATTGCAGGATGATTCTCTCCTGGACGTGGTTGTCAAAGTCACACGCCATCTCGGTCGATATTGTCTAGCATGGATTATCTCTAGATCTACTGCAGGATATCGATACCATTGCTCAAACGCTCACAGCAATTGACAACATCATCTCATAAAAATCTCGTCCAGGCCCTTCATATCGGCCAATACCATCTTCTTGGCCTGGATGTTCCGCCCTCTAAGCAGATGTCGGCCAGTTCGCATGACAGTGATGCTCGGTTTGTTGGATACCACCTTCAAAGTCGACACGGGCGACTTCTTCTCTGGGGCGTCCGCAACATCCCTTGAAGATTTGTGCTTTCGTCGCTCATCGCGCTTGCCTGACCTTTGGCCTGCCTCGGATTCGTTATCTGATACGGCAGAGGACACAGGTTCATCTGGGGGCTGAGTCAAAGGAGACTTATGGACTGTGAGCCCTGGAGCATCGTCCCCGGCTTTCTTTGCAGCTCTTCTCCGAGCCTTCTCTTCTCGCCGTAACCGCCTCGCCTCCTTCCGCTGTCTTTTTTCTTCCTTTAGTTTCCGTCGCTCTTCACGCTCTTTTCTTTTAGCTTCTTCTTGGTCTTGCGGTGATAATTCAGGCGGGGGTTGATCGTTCTCGACCAAAGTGGCAGACTCTGTGTTTTCCAATTGCTCCTTCTTGTCAAGAGTTCCGACCAAAACTCCACCCTTGACAAAGATCATGCCACCCCATCTCCCTCGGGCATACATTGCTAACTTCCTGTCTTCCACCTTCTTCTCCTCTTGTTTCAGCACCTCCTCACTCTTGCCATTCAATCGACCTAAGAGGCCCTGGAATGCATCCAGCCCAACCTTCTGGTTCTCAACGGCTTCCTTCCCGCCTTTCCTCCTTGCACCCAGACCTAGATTGTCATCTTTAAAGAGAACTCCCACATGTGCGGAGGCGAGGCGTTCTGCGTCGCTAGGAACACCAAATCGGGAGGTGGTGGTGCGTTTGCCGAGTGCCTGCCCTTGCGACCACCCTTGCTGGGTCATAAGGCGGTGGCCATAGGAGGTCTCAGAGGACTGGGACGACCATGCTAGGTTCCGGGGATCATGGGACAGTTTCTGCCTCCTGTTCATACAAGTTAGAACTGAATCAAGGCGGTTTGTTATCTCGTCGTCGCAGAACGAGGTCATTTGACGATTTTGTGGAAGATGAACATGACATACTTTCTCGGCTCAGCTAGACCCATTTTCAACCTCACCGTCTGAGTGGATGAGTATATCTCTTCAAACTGGGGTTGAGAGGAAACTACCGGTGAACAATTCGAAGCAGAGAGGATTTCCAAAAAATTTACAGTTTGCACTTCATTGTTAGTGATCCGCCGGATATTATACTACGTCAGAGCATATCAACCAGAAATGGCACCAATGAACTGGGCACGTGCTTAGGGCCGCAGGTGTGCGTCTTCCTCTCCAGGGTGCGTGCTGCCAGTCTCTATTGTCGCTCGACACTTCGTTGCCACTGCTTGCCCATTTGTTCAACACGTCAACACGAGGTGTCAATGATCGTGACTCGATGGACATCAAATTCATCGGTTCAGGGCACCTGATGACGGCATATCCCCAACCCCTCTTCGAGCGAGGGGCGACGATGTGTATGACCGACGCTATTGGGTTCGCCGCTTTCCCTTTATCAAGACGCCCTGCATGTCTGTTCCCTAACGCCTGTTTGTTCGGAGATTTGAAGTCACGACCTTGTTAATAACCTTGGCGCGTCCTCCGCATCTTGGGCTGGCTGCGTCAAGCAAAACTCATGCTTGCGCCCGCACCCGGTGAGCATTAGGTTCGAGGACGCTTGATACCAAGAGATACTACTACACTGTATGTAGGGTGGTGGCTTGTGCCCAGACTGGACGCAAAAGACGAGTCTGGATTCAATCGGGTTCAGCATAGCAAACTTGCGACCCCTGCTCGCTTCATTAGCGCCGGCTGCTCCAATATCAACCAGAACGGCGATTGTGGGACGACTAGTACTCTTCAAGACAAAGGGCTTGACTAGCAAAAAGGGGCTCCTGCAGCAACTTTTGCAATACCCTAGAAACGGCCTGCAACGGCCTGCAACTTGGAGACTGCTGGTATGGCAAGTCCCGATGTGCACTCCAGATCGTCTGCCAACGCGGTGACACGGCAACCCACGAACAAAAGTCGGTGGCGGTAGCCTCGCCCGCAGCTCGCCTTGAAGGATCCATCTTGCCGACCTGATCTCGCACAGAGACAGCGTGACAAGTTTTCAAAGTAGACACCTTAGGCTCAAATTGTATACCGCCTTCTGGGCTGCCCGCCCTCCTGCCCGTCACCACAATTCCGCCTCAAAGAGTCAATAATGGCCCTTCCGTTCGCCATGTTTCTGCGAGGGATAGACAAGACATACCTGGCTATTTTGTTACTCTTCATTATACTTATTTCCAGCTTCGGCGGCCCCTTTACTTCCTCCCAGCCAAAAACAGGCGTGGTGGGAGACTTGGTTTATCGAGCCGCCAGGCACAACGGCAGCATTCACGCTTCTTCTTCTTCTGGTGTCGAACTGGGCGATGTCGTTGAAAGCCACGATACCAGTCCAACACACGGACTCTTCAACTTCTACTCGGAACCTTGGGACCCGCCTGGAGTTTCGGGGCTGAACGACGACAGACTGAAGGTCATTGAGCCGTATATGAAAGCCATTACGGATCCCGGTGACGGTCGGTTTCCACGCCTACGGTGTCCGCTGCCGATCAAAGAACGTTATAAGATCTTGCGCCGCCGTCGCAGTCTCGCGACGAGATGGGATACGCCACCCAGAAGATGGTTCTTCGCACTCGATCTCCAGCAATGCGCTCCCCTCTTGCCGCGCTTGCTGGCATCGGTTGTGGAGACGATCCGCATACTCCGGCCACAGGACTGTGCCTTGTCCATTGTTGCTCGCCCTTCCAACGATGGTACGTTGGAGATTTTGGAAAGAATCCGGGAGGAAATGGGGACGCTGAACGTATCGTATTACTTCAGCACAAGCGACATTGACCCGTACAAAGAGGGCAGCGACTATATCACTGAATGGGCCACTCTGAGAAATCTAGCACTCGACCCACTGGTGCGGCAGCCGGAGCTTTACGATCCTGACACAACGGTTGTATTCTTGAACGATGTGGCCATCTGCACGGATGACATTCTAGAACTCATCTATCAAAAGGCGAGTCTTTGCGTGGATGGACGGGAGTTCGGTCGAAGATGCTAACGGGTTCTGCAGGTCTATCAAAATGCTGACATGGTCTGTGGCATGGACTGGGCCAACCAGGGAGAGACCTTTAACGACGTAGGAGCGTCCCGTGGTATGACAGGTGACATGTTTGTCAACACGCCCCGAGATGGCAGTGCGGACCCCAACAATACAATGTTCCGCCACGATCCTAGAACGAAGACACGATTCGAGGCGAGATTGCCTTTCCAGGTGAGTAGTTTGAGATCCACTTCACGCCACGTCATGACAGAGTTTGTGTCTATGGCTACATTTTACTCACAATCATGGCTCCTCCCAGGTCTATTCATGTTGGAACGGCGGCGCAGTCTTCACAGCCAAGCCCCTACTGCGGGAGAACATCACATTCCGCGCCTCGCGTCCCGACGAATGCCACATGGGCGAACCTCTGCTCCTGTGCAAGGACTTCTGGAAGTACGGGTACGGACGGATCGCGGTGGTGCCGAGCGTCAACGTCGGGTACAACGACGACGAGTCGCGGCAGACCAAGAAGAGGTACGGCTTCGCCACGGAGATTGTGCAGCGGGTCGAGCAGGACGTCGACGTCCGGGCCCTCCGAAACAGCAAGATCCGGTGGCAGGCCACGCCGCCCAAGAACGTCAAGTGCGAGACGGACTTTTCGCACCCGACCGAGGACGAGCTGGACGAGTCCAAGAAAGCTGCCGCCGCCGAGGGCGAAGCGAATTCTGCGGGGTCGTCCGACGACACGGACAAGGAGCAGCACCACATGATCTTCGAGGACGGCGGTGGTCCTGACTTGTAAGTCTGAGTGGTTTTTCGCCGTGGGGCCAAATAATGCAGTAATGGGAAAACGCGGTGGTCCAATATCTAGCTTGGAGGGTTTGCGACAGGATGGCATAGATTTTTTGTAGACTTGTCGGCCGTACTTTGTGCTTTTGTTTTCGGCGTTGGAAAGAGGGAGGCTTCATGAAGTGCGTGCGTGCGTGCGTGCGTGCGTGAGTGAGTGAGTGAGTGCTGGCTTGGCCATCTATATGTGTGTATATGTAACTACCTATACAAGGTTAGACAGAATCACGACCACACAGAAAAAAAGACCCAGAATACCCAGGTCATAGACTCCAGGAGGGGGTTTCACCCTTGACTCCGTCCATCTCTGTAACCGAATCCATTCATCCTACCACTACAATCCGATTCTACGACCAAACAGGATCCGGGAATAGCATCCCAGACAGGCAGGCAGCGCAGACCCTGGAATTAAGAATGCTACAGCACCTATTTCTCCTCTGAGCGGTACAATACTACTCGGTACATACATACATCCTCAATCTCAATGTTGATGTTGATGGCGCCGTTGACGCAAGGGGGTGGTTTTGTCCGTCAAATTTCTGTGCGGGCAGGGGTGGATGATTGTCTCAGACAGGCGGGGGATCAGGCCGAGACAAATGGCGAGACAAAGGTCTGTCCCAGATGCCAGTTTCCCTACGAATGAAGAAAAAGAAGACGAAGACAGCCTCGAATTGGAGAGCGTGTTGACTCTCAATGTCCCTGGCGAGGGAGGGACTTGATACTCACACGAGGCTGGCGGGCTAAAAGGGGCGTCGGCGGTTCTCGACCGCACATGATGAATTGGAAATGGGGTCTCGGCCAGGCATAGGCATGTTATGTATGCCATCTTTAAGACTCCATGACTCCATGTCATGTCATGTCATGTTCCTGTCATGGCTCGTGCACGAGATACGGGCTCTTCATTTTCTTCAGAAGGGCTGGGCGAGTTTTGACACATTCCACAGCGCAGCGCGTACGTGACAGAGTAGGAACTCGTACGAAGGGATGGCTCGGCCCTCTACGTGTCCTTCCCTCTCCCTCACGCCCTCGCCCTCGCCCTCGCTTCGCACGCTCGCTCACTTACATGCTCCCTAGATATCCCACGCTCCAGAGGCGAAAAAGGGCGCGATGGAACGCTGTCCCAAGAACGAGGCCTGGCGGTAACTGTAAAAATGCACCAATATCTCCCTGTTTTCTTCGAACCCCTTCCCCTTCTGCCCTCCTCTCATTCCTTTCACTCCCTCCCTCTTGTCTCTCAAGCAAAGAGTCATGTTCCCACGATTCGAAGTCGCCGGGTTTGCCATCACCTTGACGATTGTGTTCTTGTTCGTCGGTCGGTTCAAGCCCTCGTTTCCGGACTTTGACGCGCCGTCGGTGGCGGACCTGGGGCTCTTCGATCACCGCCACGACGACGTCGTCAATATCAACACCAATAACCACAGGGGAGGACTCGGTCTGGGGACCGGGAGTAGTCACAGGTCCAGCCGGTTTGATGACGTGCAGCCGGACGATGCTATCGAGGATGTGCGGGTTGCCGATGTCTTCCTTGACGAGGAGGCGGTCGAGGCGGATGAACTGCAGCGGCAGCTTCAGCTGCAACAGGAGCAGGAGGAGGCAGCAGCAGCAGCAGCAGCCGCGAACAACGACAACAACTACAATATCATGGAAGACGCCATGAACTCGACGTTGGGCTTTGCAAAGGTCTTTGTCATCTCCATGCCGGAGAGGAGTGATAAGCGAGACGCCTTCAGTCTGCAGGCACGGCTGTCCAACATCTCGTTTGAGGTCCGAGACGGGGTCTCAGGGGCAGATGTGTCGGTCAAGGCTCTTCCACACGTAAGACACCTGGACTTACCTATCTATTGACCCGCAGTCAGAAAGGCTGAAAGGATGCCTGGTTCGTCGGAACACAGCTAACGTTTGGCGACTTCATTTAGAGCTTTGCACAGGATGCCGGCGCCACGGGCTGTTGGCGAGCACACCTGAACGTCATGCAAGAGATGCTCCGGGACAACATCCAGTCCGCTCTGGTGTTCGAAGACGACGCGGATTGGGACCTGGCCATTAAGTACCAGATGATGCAGGCGGCACAAGCAACGCGGTTTGTGACCGCGCAGCCCGAAGACGAGAAGCCACTATCGCCGTACGGCGATTACTGGGACATCATCTGGTTCGGGCATTGCGCAGCGCAGACAGACCCAGAGAACGACAGGAGGTACGTCGTGACGGACGACCCGACGGTGCTGCCGCCGTGGTCGAGGTCGGAATTCGTCCAGCCCGACATGTCCGTCTGGCAAGAGGACTCGGACGACTACCTCAACTTCCAGACCCGGATCTACTTTCGGTCGAACTGGAATTCGTGTACGGCGGCATACGCCATCTCCCTCCGTGGCGCGGAGAAGGTCGTCTTCACGCAGAGCATGGTGCCCTTCAACGACCCGGTAGACAATGGCATGGGAGCCATGTGTAACCGGCACACACTGGATTTCACCTGCATCGCACCGTTCCCCACGGTGGTGGGCATTTCGAAACCAGCCGGCGCGTCAAATCGAGGAAGCGACATTCGCGGGCTAGAAGATGTCCAGGTGATCGAGGAAGGATGGAGTGAACGGATCATGTATTCGACGCGGCAAAACATCCCTCGCATCCTGACAGGACAAGAGGATTTTTTGAGTGTCTTCTCCGAGGACTCGATGCCTCCCATGACGATCCCGGACATTGGGCGCGGCATGGGACATCCCGAATGGGTCTGGAGGGGGACCAGGTATTTTGACGAAGGCGAGTACCAGCAAGCGCGCGCCGGAGCGGCAGAAAAGGACAATGAGGAGGGCAAAGCCGAGGAAGACGCAAAGTCGGAGGGCGACGAGTGGACGAGTCCGATCGAGGAGGAGACGGAAGATGCTCAGCCAGACAGCGAGGGAGAGGAGACGTCTACCTCAGAAGGGGGCGAAGAAGAAGAAAAGGAAGCTTCCGAATCCACAGGCTACTCGAAGAAGCAGGGGTCACATCGAGAGGAGGCGGAAGCTGGAGAATCCGGGGGTTGAGGAAGTGGATAACCATGGAGAAGAAGTGCTCGAAAGCTAGGCGCAGTGAGTAGCTGTGGTGTGTGGTAGTGTATAGAGAGAAAGAGAGAGAGAAAGAGATCGCGCGTGCGCAGTCGATATTTGTGCCCGAAGTGTTCAGAATGCACTGGATGCTGTTTTGAAGGAACGAAGCATTGACGGTATACTCCTGTATCTTTGTTAATACTCCCATTTCCAGATTGACACTCTGACGAATTGAATTGGATCGGATTATTATTATTATTATTGAACTTCGGCCTGCTGCCAACCTGGACCGAGGTAAACGAGGCGAGAAGATCCAAAGTTGGACCGATAGCGCGACTCATATAATTTCCTCGGTGGTCCTCAACAATGCAATACACCATTTGATAAAGAATACCTGATCACTCTTTTTGATGAAGACGGAGACTATGACCAGTGGCCGAGCAACATTTACCGAGCGAGGAAGGATGAATGTCGTGGTGAGGTTTGACTGAGGCCATCGATATCCCAACCGATTATAACCCACGACCAACATCACTCCCCGTTACTGCCCTCACTACTAGGTAGCATTACTGGGTCCTGCACCATACACAAAACCGCCATACCATCCATTTCATTTCCTTCGCAGCGTCACAAAGCAGCTGCCCCCTCGCCATAGTTGGACCATGGGCTCTACCGACACTCGTCGCGGTGGCGCGGAGCCACCAATGCCGCAGTCGACTCTGCTGGACCACTTCCGCTCTATACCATGGTGCGTGCCACACCTGTCAGACCCGGCGTTTCGGCAGGTGAACATGTCTCGAACGCTGATGCAGCCGGGAAACGGACACTCGCTGATGGCCGAGACATGGAACACGGACAAGACCATCACGCACCTACTGTCGCTGTACCGGCCTCCCATCCACAATGGCGACACCACGGACACCCACCGGGGGACGGGGATTGGGATGGACAGCCAGACTCGCGGCGAAGTACGCCGCTTCTACACGTTCGGGACCGGCATGAACGCGCACCCGAACACGCTACACGGCGGCGTCGTGGCAACCGTGCTGGACAGCACCATGGGCAACGTCATCGGCCACCAGATGCCGGACCGCCTCGCGACCTTCACCGTCGCGCTGAACGTGACGTACAAGAAACCCGTGGGCACGCCGGGGACCATCATGGCGAGGTCGTGGATCACCAGGGCCGAGGGCCGCAAGATCTGGGTCCACGGCGTCATCGAGGACGGGCAGGGGAATGTCCACGCCGAGGCTGAGGGGATGTGGCTTAGGGCGAAGCCGAAGTTGTAGCTTTAGCTGTGGCTACAAGTGTAGACGAGATACATGATAGGGGAAATAGGGAGGGTTGGACAAGGGGGTGGTTTAAAGGATTGATCGATATGGTAGAGTATCGAGCTTTGTTCTTCTATTATAGATAGACAGGTATCACAGAGGCCGGCTACTCCGTCCACCATCCAGAATACGACCATACAACCATACCATCTGATCCGATCCCCACTGGGTGTTTGTCGCTCTGCTCTCCCCAAAGCTACCTCAGTTATATGTGATCTTACAAGAAAGGCCTCACCTACACCCTCCAACACGATGGTAATACCATGTATCCCTCCTAAAGCACTGTCAGCTTAGGGCGGTAGGTGGCCCCATGCTTGGTCCTTGTCCCACTTGATGTTGAATCTCGGGCCACCGTGACCCAATAAATCCGCATCGTCAATATCCCACGCCGCCAGGTTCTGCATAAAGTATTGGTACTGGGCCTCGGTCTCCGACATCCACATTCGACAGTAGCTGTTGTCAATGTTGAACTCCCACGCATTGGGCTTGAGCACCCTTCGCATCTCCTCTCCGTCCACAATCTTGTTCTGCACGATGCTGAGATCGGGCAGCTGCACCGTAGGATAGTCCCGGTAGAATGGATCCTTGATGCTCACCCACTCACCACAGCACCTGTCGATGCTGGGGCCATCCAACGTGAGGTCTACCGGTTCTGATCCCGTCACGCACCACGCGCCGGCTTCCATGTAAAAAGGCGGCTCCAAAAAGCACCAGTTCCGCCAGTTGGCCGCCGCAGCGACCGCGTGTCGCGGGCAAGTGTGGTTGAATCTCGGCAGGCCCGCATCGACAAAAACCCACTGATGGGGACAACGTAGACCGTTACATCCGATCCTGACTCTGTAAAGATCCACCGCTTTGGGAATCCCACCTGGTGTGCCGGGGGGACATTCCACCGGATCAAGCTCCAAGTCCTCGTTGACACAGACCCATTGCTCCTCACTACTGCGTGTGGCGGTATCTCGAGGGACGGGCATATGGTGCGTGATGTCGGTTTTGTTGGGTTGAAAAATGCGGCGTGGAAGAGCTGTTACTTGGATTGCGAGCGCAAGGGTCAAGGTGACCGTCGACAAGACTCTGATGGCCATTGTTGCTATTTAGAGGCGTGGTATTCTTTGTGATTGTGATGAATCTGGACTGCGGTTGGAGGTAAAGAATCTAGATGTTGAACGATGTGATGTACGAGCACTCAGGCTGAAAATGCACGACTTAAATAATTCCTGGGAAGGCTGGCAAAGCTTTGAGGTCCTTCAGGTCCCCATCTGACTTACCGATAGCTTCTATTTTATACGGCCATTCGACAACGGGCATCTATGGCACCTGAGTCGAGAACCACTCTCAAGTTCTAGCCTTCAAGTGAGGCTAAGTGAACAGCAGAGTCTTGCATGAGGCACGAACCAGAGGAAAGGCCAGAGGGACAGGACCCTAACAAATGGGATGGTAAAACCACCATTTCAGAAAAGCCAAAAGTGTAGTCTGTATGGAAATGGAGGAGGACCTGTACGGACAACGGATCAGGGCGTCAGAAGTAAATACGCGGTACGGTGGAGTATTTTTCTTGTCGCGAACCTGTTAATTGAGACGCGCCTTTACGCGTTGGTGTTCCGCATGTCACACTCAGTAAGAAACCAAGTCTCAAAGCACGCTCAACACACCCAACAAAGGCCTCAGTTCGACGCAACTTCTCAAGTGTTGTGAAAATGGCTCCTCTAAAGAGTCTGCTGCGGCCATGGCAAAAGGACGACAAATATGACCAGAGACGAAGAGCCCCGTCTTCCTATGATCCCCTCTATTCCTACCGATTATCCCGAGGCGACACCAAACAATACCACCAGCAATTCGGTGACATGTACTTTTTGCGCCTGGCCAAGTTGAAACCCGTGGTGGAGAAGATTGCTGAAGAAGACTGGGCCGACTTCGAGATCGCAGGAGAAAAGGCACAGAGAGTGGACAGGGTGCTAGATGTCCGTCAAGGCCAATTGTGCTGGGTTGTGGGAACAATCTACATGGACATGCCTCTGAAACCGAACATTCTGGAGGATATATCGAAAGAGCACTGGGTTGCAGGCGCACCACCGCGACAGTCATACTTGACTGCAGATGAGGAAACACAGGTCATGCTGGAGGACGAATCCGGCCGACTTCGATTAGCGGGAGCGACGCTGAAAAGCAACTTGTTGGTCACCGGCGTCATTGTCGCTGTGCTGGGTACCGAAACCGCAAATGGAGACTTTGACGTGCTGGATCTACACATCCCTGACTTACCGCGACAGCCCAAGAGATGGGAACGGGATGAAGAGGGAGACACACGAATGCAGGTCGATCAACAACGAAAGAAAATCGCTCTTATCAGCGGGCTTGACTTTTCCGAGACCGAGGCTGACACACTGAATGTTTCACTTCTCTCTGAATTCCTGCTTGCAGAGGCCTTGGACGAAGACGATCGGGAGGAAGCCAGCAAAATCTCTCGCCTCATAATTGCGGGCAATTCTATCGCGTCCGATCTGCTTTCAGGTCATCAAATGTCGATTGAAGACGGCAAGAAGCCTGGAAATCGCAGATACGGCTACGACGCGGCTTCGTACAATCCCACACCAACGTTCCATCTCGACCAGTTCCTCGCCGAGCTCCTCCCCAGCATCCCAATTACAATAATGTCAGGCGAACAAGACCCCGCAAATGCAAGCTTACCGCAACAGCCAATCCATCCAGCCATGTTGCCGCACTCTCGGGCCTACGCCACCACTAATATCGCCGAGCCAGAAGAAGAGGAGCCAGGATGGCTCGACAGTGTGACGAACCCTTGGGATGGCGATGTGGACGGCTGGCGATTCATGGGCAACAGCGGTCAGCCTGTGGACGACATCCTCAAGTACGTGGACCTTGGGGGCCCGGACGGGAAAGGCGCAGACGGGAGATTGGAAGTCATGGCCAGCATGTTACGTTGGCGATGCGGCGCCCCAACGGCTCCAGACACCCTCTGGTGCTATCCATTCCAAGATCGCGACCAATTTGTCATTGAAGAGTGTCCGCACGTCTTCTTTGTGGGAAACCAGCCGAGATTTGATACTACGGTCATTGACGGTCCCGACGGGCAGCAAGTCCGACTAATCGCGATTCCACGTTTCCACGAGACTGGAGAGCTTGTGCTGGTCGATTCCGAGACGCTGGAGGTTGAGGTAGTCCGGTTTGACATTCACGATCCGGCTTAGGACGAACTCGTGGCCAGGCTGTAATATCAAAAACCTCGGAAACTTTTCCGCCCGTCCCGAAAGAAATTCACGGAATTTTTATCCAACACAAAATGATATCTTTGTTGTACAGTATAGGACCGAATGATCTGATGATACCTATGTAGGTATGATATGATAAGTCTCAAAAACCATGACGCCATGATGGATAGATCTAGACAATGCGCATCAACGAACATACTTGTGAGTATTGAGGATATCACCGTCTTGCCTCGAGTTCGCCCCACCTCGCTCAAAAGTTTTTGAAATGTTATTCCTCCTCTAACCTATCTGTATACATACATAGGCGTCTCCACGACGAAAGTGGTTTTGGTACCCTATTCGGCGCACCATGTGCCCAAATACCACGGATGGATGAAGGATCCTGTACGTATTGATATCAACAACGCCTGCCCTCCAGCCAGGGGTTGGACCCAACGAAAGATAATATACTGGCTTTTTGGTTCTGACAGTTTGAGAAAATTAGGAAATCCAAGAAGCCACGGCGTCTGAACCCCTGACGCTTGAAGAAGAATATACCATGCAACGCAGCTGGCGCGAGGATGGGGATAAATTGACCTTTATCGTCTGTCAAAACCACACCCGTGCCGACACCGATGGGGGAGAGTGTCAAGAGAGCAGCGATGGAGAGACTCAGCGCGAGGTCGACGCCATGGTCGGAGACGTGAACCTCTTCATCTCCACCGCTCCGGTCCAAGACGACTCCGTGCAGGGCGAGGGCGGGGGCGAGGGCGAGATCCTCATGGCAGGCGAACTCGAACTCATGATCGCAGAGACGGCCCATCAACGCAAGGGGTACGGCCGAGCCGCGCTGCTCGCGTTTCTCAAGTACATTACACAACACGAGCGCGAGATCCTGGCTGAATTCCAGGACTACTCTCACCCTGGACCTACTCCTGGTTCTCCCACCACCACAACCACCACGATCCCCGGACAACAAGCCCACTTCACGCACCTGTCCGTGAAAATCGGCGGCACGAACCTCCGGAGCATTGCCCTCTTTGAGAGTCTGGCGTTCCGCAAGACGGGCGAGAACCCGAATTACTTTGGCGAGTACGAGCTGCGTCTGTCGCGCGCGGAACTGGGGGATCTGATCGCGCGTGTCGAGGGTAATCATGATGCGCTGGCGGACACGGCAGAGCGCAAGGGGTTACTGGTGGGGTATCGCGAGGCGCGGTATTCGTGCCATTAATAGGGAGTGAGGTCCGCGAGGACGGAAAGGACAGGGACAGGAGAGAGGGAGAGGGTAGATGTGCGGATGGGACAGAAAGGGCCGGAAAGGGTATGGGTCTACCTCGCCTATGATACTACAAGTATACAGCGCAGCGCGCCTGGTGCCCATTAGGGTGCGGAATGTTTTTTTTTTGTGTATTGCGAAGCATGTCTGGAGTCTCGAGGATGTCCTCGCGATTCTAACGAGCAACGTGTGCGCCGCAGACTACCTACGGGGTAGGTACTAAAGCACCTCAGACCGCAGGCCTTTCATCCCATCTCGCCCCTAGTTCCTATTTCTCTGAACATTCCACAAGATGTCCGACCGCCTTTTCAGCCATGTCCATCCAGTTCAGTTCATTTGATTCTTGTCGTGGCCTTACAAAGCCCAGCCAGACGAGAAGCTCCTCTCAAGTCTAGTCCCTAGTCCCTAGTCACACCATCCATTTCTCTTGGTTTGTTTTTCATGAATTGGTCCACAGGAAATAAAATGTGGTTCATCATTTCTGTCCATCATCCATGACCGTGGATACCATAACAACCCCCCCACCACTTTTGACCAAGTTGAGCGATATTGGAGGCAACAAGCAAAAGACCTTTAGTTCTTCTTGGGCTTCTTGTTCTTCTTGCCGATTTCGACGAAGGGCATCGCTGTAAGTAGGAAGGTGAGTGTTAGTCAAGGCTAAGTTCGCGCAAGATATTTATGTGTGGGCCAATGTGGAAAGGGCATGAATTCCATCGGCGGGCAAGTCTTCGGTGCTGGCAGCCCTTTGCGAGTTATGCCGCTTTCTTCCAATCCAATGCAGACAAACCGCACTTCAGACCCGACAAATATGCCCCACAAACACCTCGCTCTTCAAAGCTGTACCGGGATGAGACTAGACTTACTGGGCGGCAGACTCTGCTTGATCTTGTCGGCTTTGTCCGAGTCTTTGAGGATCAGGGTGTACAGGTACCGCTTGCATCGGATCTTCATCTTGATGTCCTTCGACTTTGATGATTTCTTAAGGCGGGCACCTATATATCGCAGTAACAGAGTCAGCAAATCACTGGGACTGCTCTTCATTGTACGGCAAGTGACGGTCGCTATGAGTGCCTGTATTCACAGAGAGATGGACTTTCAGAGGGGGTTTCAGGGCATGATTTGCGTCGTAGGTACTCTGCCAGGCGCAGGAGCACTGGCAGTTCAGGCACCACACTTGAAGAGGAACATGTCGCAGGAAATGATATTTGGTTCAGAGTTGCAGTGTCGCACCTTTAGCATCCTTTCTGCGGGCAATCTCGAGGAATTGCTTGATATCGGTGACTTCGGAAGGCATCTTGAAGTGTTCAAAATCGATCGACAGGGGAGATTGTAGACGGGCGTTGCAGACTTGAACTTGGTGAGATAGTTCCCAATCGCAGTTTCGGTGCGGGCTGCTTGTCAAAACTGAAAATGCGATTGTGGGCGGGGGATCCTCGGCAGTTTACTAGCGTCGGAGTTTGTCGGAGATAACCCAGCGTTTTTTGACGAGGCTGAACCATCCTGTTGTAATTGGTAGGTACCTGTTGCATCGTACTCATCTGACCAACACAGCTAACGGCGAGTGTGCAACTACACAGGGGTATTCTCCCTTTCTATGACCTCACACCGAGAAGTCTGTGTTGGATTTTGTCTGAGTATTACGCAATCCAAGCTTCAAAGGTATCACATGTGATTCAGACGTCAGAAGTCCGGCGCGTTTGTTCTCGTTGAGGTGGACTATTTCTTGCCCAAACCCTTCAGCCACTTTGGCAGCCTTTTCTTGCCATCCCCGGGTTCCTCGCTTGTGTCCTTAGTCCCCAGATTGACCTTGATACCAGGCTCTTCGTCAGCCTCGACATCCACAGTTGGGAGATCCTGCACTTTCACTTCTTGGGCCTGCTCCCTCAACTCCACCTTCAGTACAGACTTTACGCTCCTCGCTTGAAGACTGGCCTTATGGTCATCCCATTGAAATGTGACTAGCACTCGCCCTTTGAGCTGAAGATCTGTGATTAGTTTCTTCGCGCTGTCGTCTGGAATGATTTCGTTCTTTCCTCTGATACCAGGATTTCGAAGCATGAAAGGCTCTGTTCGGTATTGCTCCTCCAGACACTCTCGTACAAAGTTGTACAGATCCGCTGCGGTGTCGCCCTGCTCAAATCTGGCGCTAACCGCACTCTGGTCGGGGAATCGAACCTTTATCTCGACTTCCTTTACCGCAGCCCACTTGGCTGCTTCCTCTTGAGCTTGGGCAGCAAGCTCGGCTTCAGTCGGTAGCCGCACATTTCTTGAGTTCTGCTGTAGCAGTTTTTGGTGGACCTGGGCGTGTTCAACTGTGGGGGTATAGTCTGCTTCGTTGTGAGACATGAGGGCGGCCGAAGGAGTGGATGAGCTCGGCGGCCGGAATACGGAGACCGGACGACTCGTTGACGAACTCGAAGTTTCAGGTTGTGAAGGTAATGATGTTGATGTTTCTTCTTGGGCTTGAGGGGGGAGCTGCGAGGGTCTCTCCTCATTCCACTCTGGCTGAGTCTCGGCCGATCCAGTTTGTGGCTCACTTGAAGCCGAAGTCTCTTGTTGGCGCGGCGGTTGAGCAGCTGTTCCCTCGACCGAGTCGAAATAGCTTTGTATCTGCGCCATGGCCTCTTCTAGCGGAGTTTCAGTTGTCCGAAAACTCAGCCTCAAGAGAGCTGTACCGCTGTTGAGACCCAGCTGTGCCAGAGATTTTTGCAGGTCCGTAAACGACGCCAATTCTCTGTTCATGACCTGTATCACCGGCTGTTCATAATACAGTCTGCCACCACCCGAACTGCCCTGGCTCGCTGATGGTACCCCTCTGGCAGTAAAATTCCGAGTACTGGGAGTACCCCCGCCCGCAACGCCGGCTTCGAACTTCCTGAGCACAAGCCATAATGTGGTCGAACTGGGAAACTTGTCTGTAAGCCTGGCGTTGGGTACACCTCGTGCTTCTGATTCCGGCAATTGTAGGGCTATTGAGACGACGCCGGCCGATTTAGAGAGTTGGACCAGTTCTAGTTTTGCGCCTGAGGAAAGACCCGAGAGGCGAATCGTTCTGGAGAGGTCGACGGGTTTGTTATTATGCCTGCAAAGTAACTATCAGTAAACCTGGGTGTGCGCAGGCATCCATAGGATGAAACGTACTTCAAACCATATTGAGCGGCGTTGACTCCCAATTTCGTGCACGCCTCTTCTAGAACCTCACTCAGGTTCTTACCCGGGGTAGTCTTGATTGTGGCTCTTCGAGCCGTAGAGTCGATCACCACTACGTGAGAAGCCATTTTCGATCGTCAGGGCGACAGCCTGGTGGGGTTGCGTGGAGGGGATAACTCTTATGTTTAGAGGGAGTTAGATGGTCTGGATAGCAGCTGTAATGGTCGGGCTTTGTAAGTTGAATAGAGTGTTTGGTAGAAGTGGCTAGAAAGTGTTCATCCACCCAGATGGGGTTGCAGGCTGCTATCCATATTATCATGGAATGTGTTGGATGCTGTTGCAGCTTTACTAACGATCCAGTAGCGGCGAAAGAGGGCCATCATAGGCGTGTGCAGGCGTGCCGCAGGCAAAAAGGTCGGCGTCACCAAGCGTCATGGCGGAGGAATTAGGTAAGACTGCCGCCTATTGGCCCCTGTAGCTTCTAGCGCCAGCTTCTCCAGTTTGAGCCTCACTAGCCTCAGTTGAGCATCAGCCTCGTGCCTGCGGAAACGCGTTTGCATTTTGTGCCTGCGCATCCCTCCCTGGCCTTTTGAGATCGATAGTTATCCAGATCTTGTCACTTACATCCGCCATTTGACTCAACGCCCTGTTAATTGCTTGTCTTAATCCTATTCCTTCTCCTTTGCTTGAATCTTTCTCGTCTGCAGGATGGTAAGCAATCCTCATCGTCAGAAAACCGTCGCTCTTCACTGCTAACCAATCCACTACAGAGCTCTCCATTCGATATCAGTACCTCTCTCTTCTGACCTCCTGCTCCTATACAATCTAATATGTGATTCAGATGGCGGTGCGTGTGTTGCGATGGTCGGAAAGGACTGCGTTGCCATAGCTTGCGACCTGCGACTGGGCATGCAAGCGTTGACGGTGTCAAACAACTTCCCCAAGATATTCAACTATGCTCCCAGTGTCTTTCTCGGCTTGACGGGACTGGCGACCGATGTACAAACAGTCAGTGACACCTTCCGGTACAAGGTCAACATGTATCGACTACGCGAAGAACGAAACATTTCACCTCAGACACTGGCCAACCTGGTCAGCAGTTCACTGTACGAGCGGCGGTTTGGACCTTGGTTTGTGAGCCCAGTGCTTGCAGGGATAAATCACACAACGGGCAAACCGTTCATCTGCGGGTTTGACAGTATAGGCTGCATTGACTTTGCAAAGGATTTCATCGTGGCGGGCACCGCGAGTGACCAGCTGTTTGGAACGTGTGAAGGACTATGGGAGCCGGATTTGGTGAGACACATCCATGCGCAATCCCTACAGACCACTTCTTATCTATCCGCCATGCAAACCACGGCAGGGCGTATATTTATCCCCATGTTTGCCGCAATGTCGAGTCTAACGATGCTCGTTACCAGGAACCGGAGGACCTTTTTGAAACTATTTCGCAAGCCCTACTGAACGCCGTGGATCGAGATGCCTTGTCAGGCTGGGGCGCACATGTCTACATCATCGAGAAGGACAAGGTGACCAAGAGACTCCTGAAGGGGCGGCAAGACTAAATGACGGGGCCGACGAGCAGAGTTTGGAGTCTGTACTGTATGTGAAGAACGCATACTGGCAGAAGGAGGGCGGAGGGTTAGGATACGTGCGCGAACAGCATCTAGCACACACACGGAAAACGGGTAAATGGCATATGGCGTTCCTATTACTCTTCCCGTATGGAAAACTTTGGGGGCGTTGTCATGCCTCTCTTGATTCCCTTGCTTCCGCATTCTCGCTCTCTATTTGTCTGTCTGTCTGTATATCTGTCTCTGCGTACCTGTGTGCGTAGTACACCCGGAATATGAGCTTCACCAGACTAACACCTACATTCAGTGATAAAGTGTGTGTGAGAGGGAGAGAGCGCCCCACATATGTCATGTCTGTCTACATATAGGATGTCTAGCAGCTCCTGTTCCTATAACGTGCCAAAGGAAGCTCTAATCTCCCAAACGGAGGATGCATACTCGATACCTAGGTATAAAGTGTTGAGCACAACAAACGAATGTGAACCCAATCGCCCTAATACAGTATTCAGTACCTCTGTTAATCGGTAGTCCGTGCTTTTTCTTTCCCATTTGTCTCCGTCTCTCCATTTATCCCGCTTCTCGTCTCTCTTCTATCCTCAACCCCTTTTCCTGGTCGTCTTCGCTGGCCTCCTACTCATCTTCCAACCCGAATTTTGCCCTTTCCGCCCAAAACCCCATCGAGTGCATCATCCCAGCTATCCTTGATCTCCCCGCAGATGGTCTCCATCGTCACTTCGTCACAGATGCTCTCAATCAAATTCTCCCACTTCTCACCACCAGGGAGAGCGTCTCCCTCGGTACCGTCGCTCCCCTCGGCGTCGCTGGCGCGTCGTGCCATTCCCAAGTCTACCAGTTTGCCGAGCACGCCGGGTTCGTTGATTGATGACTTCAGCTCCCGGACATCTGTAAGGATTTGAGATTCGAGGTCGGTGATGAGTGACTGTATCTCAGAGATCAGGCCCTTGGGGATGGAGTCTGAAGCAGCCTTCGAAGATTTCGCGGACTTCTGGGTCTTCTTGGTCAACAGGGAAGTGAGGTTTGCAATGGCTTGCAACGTCTCAAGTTGTGTGAAGCTTCCGTGCAGATCCTCCCACGATGGTACACGAATCTCTGCAATGATCGACCCAGAGGTACTATTCCTGCGGCTCGCGAGTGCGGACGAAAGCCAGGTTTTGAGGTCGGAAAGGATGTCTGAAAGAGATGTGGAGGTGTTCTGTTGAGATGCCTGAGGCGTGCTGATGCTGCCTTCTTTGAACAAAGTTATTGCCTGGGCGAGAATCTTGTGGCATGTAAGATTGGCTCGTTCAGCTTCTGTCATTTCCGCCGATAGGTCTTCTGTAGCAGGCCAGGACACGTGGAGTTGCGCCTGTTTCAGATTCTCGTACGCTGTTGCTATCAGGGAAGTGTGCGATGCCACCTCTGCTTTCAGATAAGTGGCTATATTGTCAAACAGTGCCATGGCGTGTATCCATCTTTCTTTCGGAAGAGGTCCACATCGAAACTTCGCCAGCAGTTGACCGTCCTCTTCACGATAGTCAGGCATATACCCGAAATCTCGTTTGTCGACAAGGGGTTTCGAAGGGTCTGTTAGTGGCAAGACTGTATGGTCATTAGGCTCCCCTCGCCATCGCCGGATCTTCCGTTCCTCGATGGCATAGATCTGCTTGACCAGGCTGCTTTCAATCTCCGACCTCATCTTCACGCTGTTCTGGATGTTTGAGTAACTGTTGAATCGCAAGCCTTCGCGAATTCCTCTGACCAAAGCACTGTCCGCATTCTCCAGAACTGTAAGTCCTGTGTCTACGGCCCAAAGCGGGTCAAAATCGTCCTGCAGGGCCGTAACAGAGGCTGGATGCAACGAGGATATTCTTGTGAGGATCCAATGTCCAACTGTTTCCCACTGCAGATTTTTGACACTGAGTTTCACAAAGTTGTCCATACCTAAAGAAAGTAATCCCAGATGGGACTGGAGCTGAACCAGCAGGATTGTCAGAATGTAATAATCTTCGAATTTTAAGCGAGTGATTTGAAGAACTATGACGGCGAACAGGGCCATCGAAGGCGAGTTTTTGCTGCTAGCAATTCGAAGGATTGCGAGAACTGCGAGGAGGGCTGCCTCTGGGCACGGAGGGCTCTCGAACAAGGACGTCTGGTATAATTGTAATGCTCTGTGCGTGAATTCGAGGAGCTCCGAGCTGGATGCATCTGGTGGAAGTGTGCTATACGCCAATTTAAGGCCGAATAGCCGTACCAGATTGCCCTCATGGCTAGAGACTGTGTGCAGGAATTGATCGAAATGAGCCTTGTCAAGGTGTTGGAGAGGCTTCTTCAGATCATCGAAGCAAAAGGGCTTGGATGAAAACGCTTCGAAATAGTCTTTGCAAGTTTGCAGTAGACCGTCCTGCTTGGCTTCGTCGTCCTGAGTCTGCTGAAACTTCAGCTTCGCGAGGTAAGCTGCGCGGACAATCGGCCTGATGGTGCACACAGAATCAAGGAGCTCTTTGCATTGTGTATCTAGCCTGCGTAGATGTCAGCGGAATGTAGCCGTATGTTGTCTCCCAGCTGCCTTACCCGTTGCCCTCTGGTAATTTCGATCGTGACTCCATCCATAGATCCCAGATACGGTCGTCTGACTGGTGTTCTGGCTGGGACAACAGATCCTGGCACACTTTGAAAGCATCGTCCCATTGTTCTGATACCTGCAAAGAATCAAGCAGCAGAGAGAGCACTAATTGAGGGTCCTGTTTGCCGACTCGAGATTGCATGTTCAGCGACTGTCCCTGCAAAAGCTTGACCGTCTCTTTGACATGGCCCGTGGCGTTGAAGACTTGGACAAGCAACGCAATTTCTTCCGATTCCGCGATTGCTTTCGTGGAAGGAGATGCTTGTTCCTGCTGACCGGTAAGTCTTTCGACGCTTCTACCGAAAACGGTCTCAAGACGCACCTCATTCTTAGGTATCGCCTCCGCGGCCTTGGATATCATGCGATACGCAAGGGTTCCAAACAAGCTGCGCTCCTTTTCAGGCAGGTCTTGTTGCATATGGATCAGGTGGCACATGAGGATGTTCCAGAACTCGTAGTCTCTATCCTTGGAGAAGGAATTCCGCAAACCCATGGTGGCCTGGCGGATGGCCCCATGTCAGCCAGTCCCTTCTTGCTGTTTTGAGGTGGATGGTCTTTTGCTTGGTTTGGTTTTATATGTTCACACCTTTTGAGCACTCTTCCAGTTGTTGTCTGCAACTGCTTGGTTGAGCCATCTCATGTACAAATCCCTGTCATCCTTTTTAACGCTGAGGGCCCTTTCCCAGAGCTTCGGACTCTCTTCGTGTAGCGACAGGGTTTTGAGAGCATTTTGAAGTTGGTAGATGGCTTCTGGTTCTGTGAGGGGGGGTGTACGCTTGCAGAGGTCCAGAACCTCCTCCCGGCTTCGGTCGTATTGGGTCTTGTCTGGCTGGTTCACCAGGACGAAGGCTTTCAGGGCCTGTCATGGTTAGAAAAGGTTATTCTACGAAGTGAGCGATACTGAAACGCTTACCAGAAACCTGTCAGACCGTTCACCTTTCTTGAACCATTTGTCACAAAGTTGCAGTGCCTGCTTCCAGTTCGCACTCGCAACGGCATCTTGAATCGGCCGTATTCTTCGTTCGCTGACGCTCGGATCGGACATGTTCAGGGAATGACGGGACCCGTGCCCTCGAGGAGGAATTATGAGCGCGAAGTTTACGATGCGGGGAAGTTGTGTGGGCAAGGCTGAAATCCAAAGTTGCGTGACCCTGCGAGTCAGGCAGGAACAGAAATCTGGGAAGCTACAGGTATTGGCTACAGCAAAGTGAGACTCGGTCTTTCGTAGGATCTGAGTCAGAAGTACTCTAAAGGAGATTTAGATGCGTCCTTTGGTGCTTTTTTGCCTATTCTTACAATATAGTCCGGTAGGGGACCAGCTCTCGTACTGTGGTTTGGAGTAGAAATTCTTTTCGGGTCTTCATGTATATGTACTCCCACGCTATGCCTTGACAGAGGGTATCAATTCTGCTTTTGTACAATCCTCCCATATTCGCCTCAGAGTTCCCAAAATACCAAGAAATGACCTCAGTGATCACCCAAACCACGAGCCCGATTCAGCTCTCCGTTTCGCAGTCTGGTCAAATTCGTCAGTGTTTTGGCGTGATGTGCTTGGAACCGAGTTGTCATACCCATTCTTTCTTGCAGTCGCGGTAGGCTCTGTGTGAGTGACCGTGCTGTTAGCCTCATGCCGTACCGCTTTCTTTGTAGTTGAGGCATGCATCCCATCGCTGCCCAACCTCGATGAAGCCGGCCCTTTTGTGGCGACGACCGGCGCCAAATGGGATCACTCACTTAAAGTAGTCCTGGCACATCTCCCTGTCTCCTTTATTCCTGTGCATGCATTTTATACTCCTGTTCGCAAACTCCTGGCAGGGATCGTAATATTCGGATGTTCGTTTCCTGGAGCACACATTAGCAGGGTTCATGTCTCTGTACGTGTTATTGCGAAGTGCATACGATTGGAAGGTCGCTTTTGATTTCTCCCAAGCATCAATCTGTGGTTCTGAAGAAGCAGCCTGATCTGATTGCGCAGAAGACGCCATGTTGATGTTTGGTGAACAGGGTAGCGTTGCCAGAGTAGCTGCAGGTGCTTGATGCAAAGCGTCGATCACTGCTGGCTGCGTGCCTGCGATACCGACTCGCCGACTAGGCGGATGAGTTTAGTGAGGCACAGACGGCACTAACCCTGTTGCGCTTAACAGGCTCGACAGGCAAACAGGGAAGCTTTTGCCGAACTGCGTTATCGATAAGCAAGCCCTCCACCTCACAATATATCATTGCTTTTACCCCTCCGGCCCTCTGCCCTCCCACCCTCCAAGCGCAGTCTACCAGCATTGCAGGCTACTTCCAATTCCGCTGACCTGTCCCCAGGCCTTAGTGCGTTCCCTGCTTGCACATATTTCTAGTGTGCTATCCTTTTATTTCAGGATCAACCTATCTTTGAATTGTGGGATGGAAGATGAACTCTCCTCAGCGTGATCACGTCCTTCTCGGGGTGACCGTCGCTCAATCCACTAACCAAATGTGACTGACTCGTAAATAGCAGTTCAATCCAGGGTTTGCATCAGGCACCCTTTCATTGTTCTACACGGCTCCTTGACTACCCTCCCAGTTCACGATCTTCATCCATGCTCGGCACAAAGCACATAGGACACTTGATGGTCGATCCCTATATCAAACCTTGACAATGTGCAAGCATCTGCATTTGTGGACCGCACTTCCCTGTGTCGACCGGACAAGCAAGGATGCCTGCAAGGTTCAGCGAGCTCTCAGAGGTGGATTCTGTCTTCTGGCCAAACGGATCGCACACAGGGCCCAGAGACAGCTCCTTGCCCATCCCGGCACGTTACCATATCTGGTCAACAGATCCATACACCACCTCACAGCGGGGGTCATCCACAACCATCAAGTTCAATAAGCGATGCTGTCGGACCCCTCTCTGCGTGTGCTGTTGGCTGCAGAATGAATAATAGGAACCCTTTTAGAGATGTTCACCAGTCACACCGACATAGAGTTGGGCTGCCTCATCAGACATACTGCGGCTATGGTCCCATAAATTGACACCTATCCGCCATGTTCCTCACCTTGGTGATCCATGGTGATGTACACATGTCATATGCATTCTCTGTTTACACCGTTGTCAAAACCGTTGGATGGAAGAACATCCGAAAGGCACTTCGGTGCGGCCAGAGAGACAAACCTACAGCTGCACGTTGACACATGTGAAAGATGACAGGATCCAGGTCCGTCACCGGGGTCGAGAAGAATGCAGCAGGCAATGGGCAGTGTTTTTAATCCGAACAAAGCAAGAATTTCCATCCGTGGAAGACGAGGTAGTCGTCTGTCTGTCTGTCTGTCGTGATGGCACTCTGATGGTCTCCACAAGCTGTTTCGCAGACATCCCCCAGCTTTCGCCAAAGGGCGCCTGCAATCGCCTGACCGATGGAAGCCATCCACGATCCACACCTGTCGAGCATTTCAAAAGTCAAGCCTTCCCGATAGGCAGATCAATGATAAGGGCTGTTGGCCGGCTGATAAGACGGGCAACTCTGTGAGCGAATTGTGACGCTGTGGACAGTTGTTGACCTGCAGTTGGACGTCTCGCTTCCCTCAATCCAGAACTGTTTCTTTCCGTCCTTGCCCTATCTGGTGGAGTACTCTTTACTGTGTCTTGCTTGCATGCACAATCTGATTCCACGAGCTAACAGTTGACAGTGTGGAGGATTTTCTGGGTTCAAACCTCATCCGGACTCCTAGTGGTATCTGGTGCTGGCGTGGCCTATTCAAAGCTGCTTGGAGCCACATACACCTTACCTAGGAGGGTCCATGTTTACTGAAGAGTGACTGAAAGGAGCGTTGGTATAAGTTCTGACTCCTCTTGCTTGATTGTACAAACGTCCCATGATTATCAAGTGTTTGTTGACCTTTTGTTCCATTCTTCACAAAACCGTCGTCATCCGGTTTGCTTTGATTGCTCATTTCGCACTATATAGTGGTCACCACCCGTCACAATTGTTTGCTAGTGGTCCGTCCAAAGTACATATAATCGACATCATCAAGGGAGATGGCTTCAGCCGATGTTCTTGCTCCAGAAGCACCAGCCTTTGGCACCGTGAAGAGGAAACGATCAGACCTGCACCTCAGCAACATGGCACCCAGAGCCCCGAGTGGACCTACCTTTGACGCAGCGAAGCATCTCAATTACCAAGCCCCCAACAAGATATGGACGATGAAGGAGATAGGATTCTCTGAGATGGGAGTCTCGCCAAATGCCGTGTCGGAGCCCTTTCCTCTGTTCACCGCGGAAGCAATTCAGCAGATGAGGGCAGAGGTTTTGAGCAAGCCAGTGTGGGACAACTGCAAGTACTCTAGCGAACTGGCGCACTGCCAACTGCGAGGGTTTGCTCCTGAGTATGTGTCATTAATGCCATGAGGATCATCGTTGAGGCAGACAGGGTACTGACGAATGGAAAATAGATATGCACCATTTGTATATGATGCCTGGCGAAGCCCCGAGGTCCTCTCGATTGTGTCCAAGATCGCCGGTGTCGAACTAGTCCCCGCCATGGACCTCGAAATTGCCCACATCAACATCTCCAGCAACACCAAGGAACAAAGCGAAGCCGTCCAGCAAGCGCTGGAAGAGAAATCGCATCGAGAAGCGGACGAAGGTGTTTCGGGGTGTCCGTATGAAGACGACCAGCCTATTGTCGACTGGCACACAGACAGCTATCCTTTTGTCTGTGTCACAATGCTCAGTGACTGCACCAACATGGTGGGTGGTGAGACAGCGCTGAGGACGGGGACTGGCGAGATCATGAAGGTCCGCGGTCCGGCAATGGTAAGTCACCCAAGCCAGACTGCAAAACTGTTTGCCGTGTCCTTGTTGTTGTCGTCGTCATCGTCGTCGTCAACCTTACTAACATATGATAGGGCAATGCCATCGTCCTTCAAGGTCGTTACATCGAGCACCAAGCCTTACGGGCTCTGGGGACCACGGAACGCATCTCGATGGTGACCTCGTTCCGGCCCAAGTCTGCCTTCATCAAGGACGACACTGTCTTGACCACGGTGCGTCCCATCTCGGATCTCCGCGAGCTCTACTCGCAGTACGCCGAGTATCGATTCGAGATGCTAGAGGAGCGCGTGCGCGCCCACCTGAAGGAGATCCGAGACGGCAAGCGAGCCCGCCGCTTCGACACCAAGGCCACCAAGGCATTCATCCGGGAACAACGCAGCTTTTTGGACTCGATGTTGCGCGAGCTCGTCGACGACGAGATGGTGACGGCGGGCATGCTGGGCGGCGAGAACCACCTGTTCAGCGACGACTTGATTTCAAAGTACCGCAAGAAACCCCGCGTGTAGCCGCACCGAAGATTCAGCTCAGCTCAGCCCAGTTCAGCCAGCAACTATGGACTGTGAGTTGTGGGCGCGCGTGCGTCGAAGGAAAGGAGTATGTCGTATGTTGCAGGTGGTTTTAGAGATGGAAACATCTCCGAGAGTAAGAAATGAATGAATGAACGAATGACACATACTGAGTACACACAGACAAGACACGATTTTGGGTATGATTTTGATTCTGTTTTTCTCCTTGGGTTTTTCTTTGAATTTCTTCCCTTTTCAAGACTAGTCAAGCGAGCGGGCGCCAGGGAGCGCAGCGCAGCGGGGACGAGGATATGGTGCCTACCTAGCTGCCTAGGTACATATACATATGCATACAGAGAACAATCAAGTAAACACCAAGGAGCTATCAATACCTGACACGCGAATCACCCGAGGTTTCCTGTATCTGGTTATTAGTTAGATAGGTACATAGTCTCTATATCCCTCTATCTTTCTTCGTCGGATACAGAAGGAAGAGCAGGAGGAAGAGGAGTAACTATGGCTGTATTTCATGTTATGCTATGCTACATGCTAGCCTTCGCAATGTTCACTTTCCAAATACTCCGTCAAGAACCTACCTGTACTCGGTAAAGGGTCATGTCTTGGACAGAAGTCAGAAGAATATAAAATCCAAAATGAACCACCCAAAAATGGACGCCTTTATATATGCCACATCTATATAAATAACATGGCCAAGCACAGGGCGGCGGAGAGAAAATACAACCGTAGATATCCAGGATACAATAGCCAAACATCTTTCTTTCAATCTTACCTCGTTGCCTCCCGCTCAACAACATCATCCACCTTCATTCGCCGCCCCGTTGGCATTCCTCATCTTTGCGGCCTCGAGCGCCTTCTTGATCCTTTCCTGGTGCGCCGGATCGTCTCCAATCCGGTCAATCAACTCGCGGATCAATGAGATGCCCTCCTGTGGCCCTTTGGTGACACTGCTGATCCGCACATTCATGTCTTCAATCAACTTTGTGTCCTCCTTGGCTTTCTCGCTTTCCAGGTTCGCATATGTGGGCTTGTCTGCATTGGCTACCCGCGCTTCCGCAACCGACACATTGTAGTCAGCGTCGTTGAGCAACACATCTGCTTCGTTGGAAAGCGCGAGTAACCGCCGGGAATCGCTCATGACCGTGTCCAGAGCGTTCTGAGCGAGGGAGAGTGTTTCTCTTGCGCCTTCAGGTTCGTACAACCTCTCTTTCTCGTTCTGAAGTGCTCCGGCGTCGAGTGCCTTCTTGACCTCTTGAAGCCTGTCAAAGACCTCATCGGTGAAGACCTGGTTATCGCCCAGTCCGCGGACTGTGGCACGATCGAATGAATCCATCAGCTTGTTCGCCCTTGTGTCGCGGCTCCGTGCTTCGTGCAGAACTGCCATCTTCTCGGCCACTGCAAATTCTTTCTCAAGTTTCTTCACGCCTTGTACGTCACCATTCGCGTATAGCACGGTGAGTTCGAGGCGTTTGCGACGCCTCTCGCGCTCCACATGCGCCTCGGCCAATTTGGTGTGTCGGACCTCGATTTTGTTGAACAAGGTCAGGACGTACGACATGACTTCGGTCATCCTCACGGCACTGCTCCTATCATTGGCTTTGAAGCAGCGAGACACGGCCAAACTGTCAATATCGAGCAAGTCAATTGCCATCGTATACGCCGTCATCAACTCGGTGATTTCTTTCTGCAGCTTCTCCGTCACAACCACAAAGACCTGGCTCGTAAAGCTTTCCAGTTCTGCTTGATCCTCGGCGAACCTCCTCTCAGCCTCCTTGAGCTTGAATTCCGCCTCTAGCTCCCCAATATCTGCATAGCCGATCTCATTGTCGTTGAACAGAGCGTCAATGTGTCCTTCGGACTCTTCTTGGCGGGCCTGTCGTTCAACTTCTTGTTCCTTACGGACAAGTCGGTTGGTGCGATCCCATTCCACCACTGCGTCATGGATGAAGGAGAAAGCGTCAGGGATGGAGTCGATTTTGGACTTTATGAGTTTGAGTTTGGGATGCTCAGGATTGGCCTCTATAGGCGAAAATATGTCGGCCACGGGCGGTAACAGGGAACGCAGTGCAGTCACAGCTGCTTTGAGAGGATCCACTGGTGCCCGCTCTACTCTCATCGATGCTGTAGCAGGAGTCCCAACACGCATGACGAGAGGAGGCTCAGGCCTAGAAGAGGCATTGAATTTGGGTTCGCTGCCAGGCCTGATAGCCGCAGGCACAGATCCCGGTCCAGGGGTCTTTTGCCTTACAGCCATACTCTGTTTTCTGATCAAGCCAATGAATGCCTCTTCGTGTTCCTTTTTTCCGCCGGAGGAGGACGGTCTAGCAGGCGCTAACAGTGCCGTATCTTGAACCATCAAGCGGCCTGAGTCGGCTACCGAATTTCGCAACGAGGAATACGCTTGATCTGCTGGTTGTAGTGTCTTGCTCTTCTCTTCCTGGACACCAGTATTGTAGCGAAATGGCGTGTATGCGGGGCGAGGAGGTTCGAATTTTATAGGCACGACTGGCTTGTCACTATTCCCCTGGGCAGGTCGTCCCGGTGAGGCTTGGCCATGTGAAGCTTCGGTGGTCACGACCATTGGAGCGTTCATGCTTGGGGAAGGTGGTTCAGGGGTTGCATAGTCTTCAATAACCATCGGGGCATCGTTGCTGGGCGATAACATACTCATTGATGGTTGGTGTCGCTCTTGTTGGATAGTCGTGCTGATTGGGGGAGGCTTCATTGATGAAGTCGTATTAGCTTTGCCGGCGATGGGACGACCACCAGGGCTGTAGGCTTCTCCGTCGCCGTCTGCAGGTTTCGTCACAAGTGGGCGGCCCCCGGGGCTGTAGCTTTCCTCCTCACTGCCACCTTCAATGCTTTTCATCACCGGCCGTCCTCCAGGACTATAGGCTTCCTCTTGGCTTGACACTGGTATAATAACACGAGGGCCATCTTTCGACTTCGGGCGGTCTTGCTGAGTTGGTTTAGCTGACGACTCTGGGGTAGAAGACACGGTGTCTGCAGGTCGAGGAATGTCGAGCTGTGGTTGTTCTTTCTGCACAACATTCGTTGGGGTGACTTCTGGGACTGTACTGATCGACGGCTGCGTGTGTGGTTGCTGGCCTTGCGACGTTGCTGCCAGTGACCCAGACGGGTTCTCGACTGGCTGATTGCTTCGACCAGGATCTCTGCTCGTTTCATTAGAAGGAAAGGCGGCGTTGGGCAGAAGAGCCTGGATGTCTGCCAGACTGGCCGCCTTCTTAACCTCCTTGGCTGCTTCCTTCTTCAGTTCAACCCCGTAAAGCAGGCTCCTCAACCTCAGCTCCTTGGTGACGAAGCTCTGGAATATTTCGAATTTCTCGTCATCATGCTCAGCTTCTGCCTCCCTTCGCAGCATCGCTGCATACCTCTTCAGCGAGGCTTTGAACTCCGGCTCTAGATCGGCGTAGGGATCGACCACCTTGACGCTGACTGGAGATAGACCTGGGTCCGGAGATGTGACCCGTGGAGCAGACGCACGAGATTCGGGTCTCGGTGTCGAGTCATGAGCAGAGCGCACGTTCAGTGGAGCATTCCAGGCTTGAATCACCCTGTCGATATTGCCTGCGTCATTGAGGCTGTCAGAACGCGCCGAAACATTGCCGCTGTATTCGCCAGCGGACGGAGGCCCTTCGTCAACAGGTCGCGAAGGTGGGGATGGAATGCTGTCTACTACCGGAGGCGGCTGAGTCCGCGAGTCCCTTCGGGGCGTCACCGGACTGGCAACGCCAATCTCAACGGCATGGGTCGGGAGAGCAGGCTCAGGCTTTGGAGTCTGGTGAGGAGCAGGTAGGTTTGCGTGTATCTGTGGAGGAGAAATGGGGCCTTGATATAGAGGATTTGATGGAGGGCTCGTAGGTGTTTGCTCCGGAGGAGGTGCATTGGGATCGTAATGTTCCCAATCAGATGGCCCACCGAAAGCTAATGCCTGAGAAAAAGCAGGCTTGAAGTCTGGAGGCTGGATTCCAGCAGCAGGATTGTAGTGACTGGGAGCCTGGCTTGTACTTGAATGCGGCTGATGACCAGTACTCCAATAACCACTTGTAGGTTCTATTGGCGACACCAATGGACCATCCAACACGGCCGACGTCTGCGGTGGAGGAGGCGGCGTTGAATGATATGGTTGTCCCGTTGACTGTCCATGCTGCGTGTTCCATGCATTCTGCTGTGTTGTGGGAGGATCGTAGTGATGTGAGGGAGGTTGAAACGAGTATTCCTGATGGGGAGTCCCGGTCCGGTTATGCTGTGTAGCCTGTATCTGAGCCTGATACTCAGCGGGTCGGGGAGGTGGAGGAGGGGGTACTGTCGAGCTCGTGTGGTAGGGATCGTTCCACGATGTAGGATACTGCTGTTGCGAAGGTGCCGGTGCCGGGTGCTGCAATGAGGCTGTCTGGTGAGGCTGCGGGCTCACTCTTCCAAGGACAGAGGAAGGACGCGGCGGCAAAGCAGGTTTGGGTTCCTGAGATTGATTCTGATTTTGACCACCCAATGTTTGGTTATATCTGACTCCCCATTGATGTGTATCAAACTGCGGCGGTGGAGGGTATTGGGACGGTGGCGGAGGAGGCGGAGGGAGAGGGGGTCCGAATGCGTTCGACGCGGGTACAGCGACGGTATGATAGGGAGATATAGGGGATTGCGGTTGTTGTTGTGGCTGTCCTGGAAGTCTGGGGTCACCCCATCCTTGTCGTCGAGGAGGTGCTTGCCACTGTGGTTGTGGCGGGCCGGGGGTCTGTTGTGGAAACCCGTATGGCTGCTGATTGTATGGATTCATTGCCTCAATTCAAAGTTGCAACGGGTTTGCCACGGGCCATCAAGAAGCCGACAGCCGCTGATCTTACCAACCGTCTTTCAGCTCTGGAGGTAGACGTGGCAATGATTGAGGGTACAAGGAATCAGCAAATCCCCTAGCCAAATATATCTTTCGCGGGCGCAGGTGGAATTAGTCTCTTGGGGGCGCAGGCAGGCGGCTGAGAAGGCTGGAAATCCCAGCCTTGCGCAAGACAAGTCTCACCCACCACAGCCTCGTCGAGACGAACTGAACGCGACACGAAACACTCCAACATGAGTCTACGAAGCTTTTGATATGGGTCGGTCTGATTTATTTCCTATCTTCCTTTCTCTGTTCAATCACCCACTCAGGTCGATGACAACTCTCCCCTGTAACTCGCCCTTGTCCATCCTCTCAAAAGTCTCGGTCAACTTGCTCATCGGCTGAACCTCGAAATGCGTTTTGACAATACCTCTGTCCAGAGTGTCAGCAAAACATGCCATGTATAGGTGATGGGCAAGGGACATGGACTCACCTGGCCGCCATCTCCAAGGTCTCGATCGCCTCTTTCCTGTTGCCCACTGCGCTGCCGATGATTTTGGTTTCCGTCGTCAAGAGTGCTGCTGGGTTCGCGGTGGCGATCGGCACTGGGGCACCTTCAGGCACACCTACACATACCAAGGTACCTCTGAACTTGAGGAAGCTCAGGCCTTGTGCGTAAGCGACATTGCTAGCTGTGCAGACTACCACACCCGCCGCACCACCGCCTGTCGCAGCCTTGACGTCGTCGACCAGTTGCTTAGTTCCTGCATCGTCTCGACTGTATTTGGACAGGTCCAGGAACACCTCCGCCCCGCAGTCTTTGATCAACTTCTCTTTGGCGCCCATGTCAATGCCGATCATACGGAATCCCATTCCTCGAGCACCAATTTGCAGGGCTAAGTGACCCAGCCCACCCCCGCCGCCAGGGATGACAACCCAGTCTCCCGGGCGAACCCCTTGGTCTATCAACTTCTTGAGCGCGGCGTAAACAGTGACACCGCCGCACAGCATGGGTGCCGCCATATCGCTGGGAAGTGAATCTGGAATGGGCGTGACATAATGGGCTGGGGCAATGGCATATTGTTGGAACGTCCCTGGGGTAAAGTACCTAATCCAGGAGTTAGGGCGATGTTGTTCACCTGTGATGTGGAATACATGAACATACCCCGAGATCTTTGCTGCAGTACAGCAGGCATCTGCGCCAACAAGACAAGGGTGGCAGTTCCCGCAAGCAGAAGCAATCCATTTGATACCCACGCGGTCGCCAATCTTCAGACCAGAACCCTCGGTGCCGGGCCCCAGGGCAGCAACGCTACCAACGCCTTCGTGACCACCCACCTGGCCTTTCTGTGTGGGAGCAGGAAGCCATGCCCATGCATTGCACATAACGCCCATGTCCTGTGGGTGCAAAAGAAATGGGTATCAAGGTCAACACGGTCGTCTTCTTGCCTATCAAATCGACTACGCTGGACCGCTTACCGAGTGGCATACTAAATGTCAAGGTCAGTACTGTTTATTTCTCCCCCATGTGTTAACAAGGACAAGATACTCACCTCCTGAATGTGTCAAGTTCACCAGGACCTCGCCGACAGCAGGCTTGGGGGTCTCGATCTCCTCGATCTTGGTGGAAATGCTACCCGGGTTGTCATACACCAAAGCCTTGTGCCTGGCCGGAACCTGAACGCTCGCCATGGTGGTGGGAAGTTGTACACGAGGAAGAACTTGCTAAAGGAGGACTGAAAGAGGATTTCGAGGAAAAGGCAGTGAGCAGCACAGAGGCGCAGAAAGAAAGAGAAAGGGATTGTGCCGCGGTCATGGCCCAGGACTTCTTTAAAGGATTCGAGCAGCAGACGCGTCTTCTGAAGAGGGGTAATACCGTACAATTGCAGTTGTCTGGACCATCTCTCTCCTCCTTTGAAGCACTTGCACGCGCGGAACTGGTTGCGGGGCACACGTCGAGGCAGATCCCTCTGGTTGCGCACTTGTCCTTGTACCCTCTTCGGAAACTCCTTTGGCTTGATCATCCTCTTCGACTCGGTCGAGTCAGCGGGTTTCCTTCCCCTATAGGCAGCTTGCCACGGTCACATTGCCACATTGCCTTGTCACCGCATTATTGTACATACTCGCAGTTTCTGACGTCGTGGTGGCTCCCTCGGAAGCTGTCACTCTGGACGCCCAGCTCCAAGCCGCAAGCTCCGTCCTGCCTGATGGGCAACCTCGGTGTCATGTGGGGGTGGGATTCCCCATGTTCATTGTTCAATGTGGGATAGCCAAATGGCAAAGTGGGTTGTCACGTTGTTTGGTCTCACGATACCCCGCGATCATAACGCCGAGTTCAAAAAGCACGACTCAGTGTCAATGCATCAGCCGAAATGGAACCACAAACATCGTGTCAGCAATTGTCCTCGGCATCCTGTCTAACCATTCTCATCATTAACTGCTTGCAAAGCATACACAATCAACCTCTCCATATTCTAGCAGAACAAGGAACTGAGACATGCACCCTCCTCCGTACAAGCAGCATTACTGCACCAGTGCAAATAAGCAAGACATTCAGATGCTGGATAAGAAGGTCATATACATGCCCACACCATCCGCAGCCAGTAATGAAAAGAAAACAAACCCCCAAGACGAACAGTGGAATAGAGCCTCTCATCCCTGCAGCGTAACTCTTCTCAGGCAACGGTTCCCTTGTAAGCTGAGGGAGGAGATGTAGCATACCAGGGGCCTCTTAGCCCCAGTGCTCCTATCGCCCCCTAGCCTGCAAGAAGGGCTTGTAACCTGGTTTGGTAATCGTGTGGAGCAGCCTTCTCGTGTAGGATCGCAGTGATACGTGACAATTGGTCCTTTGCATCGCGAGTCGTCAACGTCCTGGGCCACTTCTCCCCAATGACATCGAGTGCATCGAGCATGAAGTCTATCGAGACATCCTGGATCAGGCTGCGATAGAGAGTCTGGACCACGTCAACGCCACCAGTAGCACCTTCCATCGAAAGGCGTCCGCTGCGTCGAGCAGGTTCAAGCTCGTCGTCCCGGTCGCAGACCTTTCCCAAAGCCTCAAGCACCACCATTGTGATATTATATCGGCCTGCCTCAGTAGTGGCAGCACGTGCAAGGGCTTGAAGTTCGGTACATATCTCGGCGATCTCTGTCCTCAATTCTGCTGCTGTCATACGACGTGCATGGGCCACTTTTTCATCATACCGGTCGAACTGCTCGTTGAACCTTCTCCGCAGCTTTTGTCCAAACCCAAGTGCTCGATCCCTGGGTGAAATCTTACGCAGCAGCGTCCATGCAGTCTCATCGTGGGATCCCCATTGCATCAGAGTGGCATGCAAGTCATCTCGGATGGTCCACTCAGTGGGTGCTCTTCTGGCCTGTTCTGCCGTGATCCTTTCATAGACGTCCGGTTTGAATTCTGCCGGCAAGGTGTAGGCGTCAAACGATGAGATGATGTCCCTGACAAGGATCTTTCTCTCCTCTAGGGTGGTGTCGTGGAACCGCATCTCATCCAGCAACCGTGCGTCAGGGCTGTGTTCAACAAAAGCAAGATGTGAAAACTGTTCAGTAGGTACAGACATGCTGGAGAAAAGAAGCTGGAGATCAAACTTCGATGACCATGAGAGCAAGTGGGATTCATATATGAAGATGCTCGCATTGCGCTAAACAAGGCAAATGGATGGACCAGCAGGTCACACAAGGGTTTTCAGGTCATTAGCGACTGCTGAACTATTGCCTTGGTGATAAGAGACAGAGCACTGCCATCCATAGACAAACGACAATGACGTTGAAAGACTGTATACGTCCAGACGCAGCATTTTGATGCTCCGCCATGGAGAAAGGCAAACGTTCGGATCGGTCCAAACCCCTCAGTCGGCCACTTACCAACATACCCAACCATGGACAAACCTTCAAAGCCGCTCTAGTGTACATGCCATCCTCCCTCGACCTAGGGTACCACGATTGGTAATGCCAGATGTACCCAATGGCGGAGAGAATGGATTATGGATCCGTGGGCAGAGGTCAGGTCACGTGATGGCCTTGCCCGGCGCTTCTGTTGGAAACCCATTGGACGCAAACGGGTGTGCCGCAAGGTCGTTGACAGGATTAGCGAGGTGGCTCACATCCGGAAGCAATCGTTGGCAAGTCCCCGTGCAGGGAGTCAATGGGTCAGGGTTTGGGTCGCATATGATATTGCCCGGCCGTCTGGTGGGCGATACCTAAAGGGAAAGCCTGCGCAGAACGCCTCAGCGACCGCTTCGGAACCACCTGTCCAAGATGCCAGGGATTTTGCCGGTAGCAAGGCAGACTCAAGGGATTGGGGAAGGTGGATATGGTCCAACAGATGGTTCAGGAGTGGTGAGCCAAAGGGGAAAAAGACAATGGATTTCGATCCTTGTTCAACAAGGACGTTGATAGAGGGTGATGAGGGTGATAAGCAGCATCTGTTCAACACCTTTTCCGGTGAATTTGCGCTCTGGAACATAGGTGAACATCGATAGTTCCGCATGCTCAGCATCATAGAGGTTGTATCCGATGAAATCGTGCGATCATTCTCCACTCCAATAGGGTTGCAGTTGCTCAATCTGGCCCGAGCGCACATCTAGCCCCCATGGCTTCGCTCGGTTCTCAGAACGCATTGGCCTAGTCGTGTGGAACTGGGATCCGGAGTTATAGAGCTAGGCAAAAGGTCACTTATGCACGTTATCACCACAAACTCTGTATGGCATCCACTGCTGAGGGATGTCCCCCTTTGAGTGGCCTTTCGGGAAACGGATGGTCATGCGTTGTGCTGCCGCACTCCCTTTTCAGCCCGACGTACTCGGCGTAGTCGTCAGGGTTTTCCAGAGCCACATCGTTCAGTTGGTTGAGGGATAGGGTGGGGTGATTCATAGAGCGAGTAATGGCTCGCGGTCTGTGCTTCTGCTGCAGCCAAGGCAAATATACGCGCGATCCGGAAGGGCTATGGCCCTTAGAGGGCACCAAAGAGACCTTTTGGTCCCGGCATCGAATGCCGTGGATAGTCTGTGAAGGTAACCCTCACCGGGAAGGCTTTTTTCTCTTCTGGACCCACGCAAACCGTTCGGAACCTCTCCTCATAATATTGAGTCTGCGGGTAGGATTAATGCAGAGCACGGACCACGATCCTGATTGCAATCAACCTTTGTCGATGCTTATGATCAGCGTCAGGAGAAAGATACTGAGGAGAATCTGGAGACCATGTCAGCAGACACGGAGATATGTAGAGAAAGGTATTAGTACTGACCAGAGTGGTTAGCATCCCGATACTCGTCAGTTCCCACCCCCCCGATAGACTATAACCACGAGCCATTGTCTTTTGATGCCGAATGAATCGCAGGGCGCCAATACCAGAGACAAGAACAGCGGCGCCATGGCAAACGCACGACAGCGGCACACCGACGACAAAGAAGCCCAGGTGCGGGTTTGGATGGAGACTGTGGTTTAATCGAAAGACTTGGGCGAGAATCACTCCTACCATAGCAAATGCCTGAGCTGTTCGCAGGTAACCCAAAAACGTCCTTTCGTTCGCTATTACGGCTGAGTTAGTTGTTAACAGGTTAAAGAAGTGACGAGAGACGCATGTGTCTCGGCGACAACATCAAGCATATATCCTTACCCAAGTGGTCACGGCATGTAACGTGAGGGACGCTCATGGAGATATGTCTCTTCCACCATCGATACGTCCTCGAAGTGCTTTGGTTTGTGATTGTTACAGTCCGCCGCGAGCCGAGCTCCAGGGCCTCTTGATCGGACGGATTTGCAAGCACCTCCTCAGCAGTGGGAAGTTCACCTTGCTGTCGATCCGCGCCTGCAACTTCTGCCTCCTGCGCCATTTTGTGGGACTGAAATTTGCACCAGATTTTACAATATTCCCGACTCCAACTGTCCAACTAGAACGAACATATGCAGGGTTTGAGGATCGCAAGATGGCGGTTGGCGTTTGAGGGCAGAAGGGTGTTGAGTTATCGTGCCATCCGAGTACATGTACATGTTTCAAACGGCGTGCTGCACAGGCGGGAAGTGTTGTCAGCGACGCTGATGAGTATGAGGTACGAAATACGCCATCTGCAACGGATACAAGGAGTGATAGGTGTCGATCCGGTCTGGAGGAGCTGTTGGTTCAGGCGTCGTTCCCAGATTTGTGGCATCCCAATAATGCAAGAAGCGAAGAGGGAAAAAACAGGAAGAGGCCAGTAAAGGGAGCAAGCCACCAATCGCAGCCACAGGAAGGATGAGTTGCCGAACTCCATCTGCAATAGTTCGCTCCAGGTGTCTCCGGCTGTTCCAGCTGCCCCCCCTGTCGGGTGGTGCCGGTGCCTGTGGCTGCCACGGCTCCCCATGTGCGATGACGACGTGGAACCGCTTAGCTTGGGAGCTATTTGCCCATGATGCCCCCCCATGGATCATGGTACCCAGCGCCCAGCCACTGCTATTATTCTGTGATATTGTGCGGAGTGATAAAGGATGCGCCCTCATGGCCAGACCTTTTTGATCTCTAACGACTCGCCCAGCCTCCTCTTGTCCGTACCTTTCCTATCTTGCCCCCCCCCTCAAATAATATTCTCCTCTACTTCGTTTCGCACTTTGTGTATATCCTATCCGGAGCTGGAGATCTCTTCTAAGAATCTTGCTTCCTGCGCTTCTCACATCCTGTTCAGGACTTGCGCTCGCCAATCACCCCGACCCCGCACGCATTGAATATCAAGCGACGGAAGCACCATAGGCTTCAGTTTTGTTCGACGGCCTCACCGTCTTTGAGTCGCACTACTATCTACACAGCCAGTGTTTGGATCCCAGCTACTACGAGACAAGATGCTCGGCGGGCTACTCTTCTGCTTCTGGAGGTTCGTGGAGATTGTCACATTGATACCTGTTATTGGCATGCTGGTACGTCCCTGTCTTTTCCCTGAGATATCTATGTAGGTACCATTCAAGGTAGACATCAACTGACAAGCGCTCTTCAGGCATGGTTCGTCGATGGCTTCGATGACAACAATCAACTGACACCGTCGTTCATCCTGACATTGTTTATTGTCTCGGTCCTAGCCTGCGCTTGGGCCATCGTGACGCTCCTCCGTCTCGGATCGACCCGTCGCTCGGCCCTCTTCGTCGCATTCGTCGATCTTTGCTTCGTGGGCGCCTTCATTGCCGCTGATGTCGAACTCCGTGGCATTGACGACGCCGATTGCGGCAACTTCACCTCTGGCTCCATTTTCATCAACCTCGGCCCCTTTGGATATTACGGAAGGAGCAGCGGTTCGTCATTGGCGTTACATCTCAATAAGAACTGCGCTATGCTGAAGGCTTCCTGGGCTTTGGGGATTATGAACACCATCCTCTTCTTCTTCACCTTCGTGCTGGCACTCTTCCTCCACCGACACGAGAGAGTCGTCGTCACAAAGGAGGTCAGGCGATCGCGACACAGCAGCCGAAGGGGACACTCTCGCTCTGGATCGAGGAGGAGCAGCAGTCGCCACCGATACGTCGTATAATTAGAGGAGACAGACTCCGACTCCCATGCACACCATAGCAATGGTTGCAGTTCCACGCAAAACGGTGGACTAGGCTCCAGAACTACTAAAACTCACGAATTTCTTTTATCTGCTGCAAATCTAGGCCGGCCGGAGAAGGTTCGGCCGCTCGATTGGTTTACAATGATTTTAGCGATGCAGCGACGGCGACGCTGGTTGTGGGAGGCTGCATGGCATGGCTTGGACGGTTTGGACGGTTTGGACGTGGCTATTCACCTGGGTAAGGGTATTGGCCGCCGGCGGATATTGAAGGAGGGGACGGGCGGAAATGAGATAGTGCATAGCATTTCTATCTCTCGCGCACGCAGCGAACGACTTTGCATAGCAATTTTTAGATAAAGAGAGAAAAACAAAATCAGAATAAAAGATGACGAATTTGCTGCCATACTACGAGGTAAAGGTTTTGCAGACCAGTACTTTACGAGGTATCGTTCATCCAGCCAGTCTGGCCTGGGCTGTATAGACGTATGGACATATACAGAGTACCAGGTATTCCGTCCCTGTGTCGAGTACCACTCGGAATATACGATGCGAAGAGTACCTCGTATAGACGCCCCAGCCGTAACCGCATTTGCTCCTGACTCATTTCAGTTCATATCTTCTGCTTCCATCCCGTCTCTTCGCCCACGGTGAATGTCACATGGTATTGCCTGCTCGCATCAGATCCAACAAATACCCAGATTCACTCCAACTGAAGCTTGAAGCCTGAAGCCTCAGGGCCCAAGTAACTATTCCTGCGTAAAAATCTCTGCCTACGTTCTAGGTGGGTAGATAGGTAGGTAGATAGGCAGTGGTAGGCACTACACCTTTGTCACCTTCTCGGTAACGGATTCGACGACCTCAGCGTGGCCAATCTCGGCGCGCTTGACGTCCATGGCCACGGGGTCCATGTCTTCGTGGTGCACGACCTTTTCGACAGCCACGACGGCTTGGTCGGCGAGAGCTTTGTCCTCGAACACTGTCGCGGACGGGGTGTTAGTAGACAAACTTGGTAGGCTCATGGGTAAAAGGTTAAATAGGAATAGGCGCGAGGGGGGAGGATGATAGGAGGGGGGGCACAGAGAGAAGGGATGTGGAGGGAAGGCTGCCGCTGTGGATGATGGACGGCGACACTTACAAAAGGCCAATTCCTCCAGTGTCCTGCCCGCGGTCTCGGGAAAGAACCACCACACGAAGCAGATCTCAAAGGCCAGCCAGCAACAGTAGGTGATCAGCCACTTCCAGCTGATGTTATCCAGGCCGATGGGGTTGACAAACGTGGTGAAAAACCCGGCCAGCCTGCCAAACAGTTGGAAGACGGCGATGCCGCGAGACCGTTCCGCGTACGGCCAGAGCTCCACAAGGTAGGTGTACGTCAGGGCGTTGTAGCCGATGTTGTAGCACGGTGCGTAGAGGAAAATGAAGAAGATGGTCGCGGTGCCCGCCGCGGTGTTTGTCCGACCGGCGTCGACGGCCGAGATGGATTGCTGCATCGTCACGGTCCAGCAGATGTAGACGACGAGTAAGCTGCACGTGCAGGCGAGGTACATGGTCCGGCGCTTGAAGCGCGTCACCAGCATCGCGGCCGTAAAGGCACAGACAAGGGACCAGCACGAGTTGCCGAGATTGATCTTCTGCTTGAAGATGCTGTCGGTGTGGCCGATCATGGCTAGCAGGTCGCCAAGGTAATAGGAGATCAGCGTGTTGCCCGACCACTGGGTGAATAGGCCGAGGAACGACGAGATGAAGACACGTCGCCGCATGCCCGCGGAAGAGACGACGGACAACCAAGATTTCCTAGATGCCTCCAGCTCCAAACGGATCGTTGTCTGCATTTGAGCCATTTCCGCACGCACAAACTCAGAGTCACGGTCGCCTTCGGCGTGATATTTGACAAGGATGTCGTACGCTTCCTCAGGGCGGTCCTTTGTGATCAGCCAACGTGGGCTCTCGGGCAAAAAGTAGACGAAGAAAAGCTGCAACATTGACGGTGCCATCTGGAGCAGAGATGGAATCCGCCAGGCCCAGTTGCTTGCGATGCTGTTCGTTCCGAAAGTGATTCCAGCAGCAGCAATTTGACCTGCCATTGTCTCATTGTCAGCCGATACGGACTGAAGAAGAACTCCCTTCGGGAGGAATGTGTAGAAACTTCCTCGGCGGGAATACACTTACCTATAAAATAGGACACGTTGAACAGAGATGTCAATACAGGGCGTTCCTTGGGATACCCGAGTTCTCCAATCAGCGCAGAGCCAGAGACGATGCACGTTGGGATCCCAAACCCCAGGATGAGACGTGCGGCAATATACATGCCAACTGAACCTCTGTTAGCATGGCTTTCACTAAGCTTCAACCTGAGGACTGACCGTTCCGCGCAAACCCTTGGATGAGGGCGCCAACGACCATGATGAGCGAACCAAGGAAGATCGACCCTCTTCTTCCCAGTTTCTCATTGACAATCGGAATGAAGGGGAGAGAGCAGATGGCTCCAAGAGAATATGCCGCGGCGATGATGCCTTTCAGAGACCCCTGAGGGTTACCAAAGTCTGCCACAGATTAGCGCGGTTCTTCCGCACATCAGTCTGGCAGAAGTGGTACATTCAATCCAGGACGGGACAATCTGCAGGGCATTGATCATTTGCGAATCGAAACCAGAAGTCAACTCAATGCCCATGCATGTCGGAAAGAGCATGAAGTAAAGATATCGCAAGTTCCGTTTGCGAAACCAGGGCACTTTGTCTTCCTCAGCGATGCGAGTGAGAATAGGATCCGAGGCTCCAACCTCATGGGTAGCGGGTTTGAATATCTTGGTAGTAGCCATGATGAGCACGATATCGGCTTCAACAACACTGATAGTGAGAGCAAAGCATTCCCCTCCCTCAAAGGCGGTCGAGGGGACTTATACTTCTCTCATTTCTCTTCCTTGCAGGGACACCTCCGAGGAACAGCCGCGACCACAACATGATGAAGGCAAATTTATCCTCGCTTACCACCAACATCACCCTTGTTGGAGGCGACAATAGCCACGGCGATACCTGGTGATGGCCTGAGAGGGCTGCAAGCAGGAACGAGTATGGAGGGTGGACCCTCTCAAAGTGGAGAAAATGGGAATCTGGGGTCGGTCATGGAAGTTCAGCCACGGCAGTGATAGTGGTCGATCGTCAACCATAACCAATGACTTTGGTTATATCCAAAAGCGACAGCCTGGTACAGGAGCATTCTCAAAGGTCGACAGTCAGCCCGAAAGCCCTTGGCTGGCGGCGGTCGAATGGCAACTAAAGGTGATCCAGGGGCCTGAAGCTACAGGATTCCAGGTTCAGACTAGGATATACCAAATGGTAGGTCATGGACCTGTTTGATGTCCGGGGATATGATCCCAACAAGTGATAGAAGGTCCCAAACAAAGACGATTTAGCCTCAATGCTCGAGCCAAGCAGGGTAAAAGGTGAGCCAAGGCACGCTTTCTCGAGCTCCGTGCTGGAAATGGATAGTGTCGGCAGTGGGACATTTCCAAATGCCGTAGATTGATGACCCTGACGACCTTAAAAATCATCGGCGCCGTACATTTTGTCATCATCATCTATCGCGGAGTATCGGTGGAGAAAGGAGAAGAGCACGAGGAATATTGAGCAGAAAATCCCCTCAAGGCGAGAAGAGTACTGACGCCAAGGAAATGGACGAATTCGGCAAAGCTCAGCCTCATGACCATATTTGGACTAAGGCAGCCTGGTCAACATTTCCTTTGGGCTCCTTTTCCATTGAATTCAGAGACTCTGGTCCGTTGGAAGAAGCATAGGGGCTACTATAGTTCTCGCGGCATGCTGCAGAGATGTTTATGATTCCTCAAGCATCATTTCTTGTGAGAGCAGACTCTTCCTTGATCGAAACGACGCACCAATCTGGCATATCGAGCTCTGCACTCAACAGTCCGACAATGATTAAGTGCAGATGAGGATATTGCTCTCAGGTCACAGCTGGACATGACATGACTTTACCATGTTTCCCCTCACGATGTACGAAAGTCTCAGAGGTGAGGTGCTGTATTTCCTGGTGAGCATTTTCAAGGGATTCAAGTATATCGACGGCCCCTCCCTCACTTTGTCGCCGGACATTCACCGTGATCAATGGGCCTTAAAAGAGTTATTCCTGGCTGACTAGTGCTTGTCTGACCATTCTTATTAACAAGCACGACAAGAACAGTGGAAAAACTGGCACCAGCTGGCCCGTTCAGAATGAGATAAGAGCGAGTTTCCGCACCAATCAGATGACGGGAATATCGGGTATCGGAGAAGGCCGAAGTTGTCCCTCTTCAACCTCGTTCGTTGTCCATTTCCATGACTTGATCTTTTCCTTTGTATCCCCTTCATCGCTCATCAGAGTTCGTACTCGTCGTACATCTACGGCTTCCTTTCCTTCTGTTCCATGCCTGGGTGAATCCCTGAGGAGCAGAGCTGATATATTCAACGCTCATTCTGTCTCTTCAAGAAATCAATGGGCGGTGCAACTCCGCCGACATCAGCCCGTCGAGATAGGCAGGTATTCAGGCCATGGCCGCCATGACAGACGGCGCAAAACTGGCTTCATCCCTGCGAGGAACGCAAGTTGTGGCAGAAATCAACCCGGAAACGGGCTACATCACCAACATTGACGATATCAGAGACGCGGAATATCCTCAACTGAAAGACACGACTTACCTCGATCACGCGGGGACCACGCTATATGCAAAATCCCTGATTCAAAGATACTCCGAAGAGCTCACGGGGAACCTATTTGGCAATCCTCACTCTGCGTCAGCGTCTTCGCAACTGTCCTCTCGTCGAATTGATGACGCTCGTCTTAAAGTCTTGCGGTTCTTCAATGCTGACCCCAACAAGTTCGACCTGATTTTCGTCCCCAATGCGACAGCAGCCATCAAGCTCGTTGGAGATGCCTTTCGAGACTACGCATCTGGGTTCAGATATTATTATCATGTCGAAGCTCATACGAGCCTTGTTGGAGTGAGAGAATTGGCGACGAGGGACACAACCTGTTTTGCCAGCGACAGAGAGGTGGATGCATGGCTGGACGTTCTGGATAATCAACCCTCTGCCATTCAAGGAGATTTGTCCCTTTTTGCCTATCCTGCTCAATCAAACATGACCGGGCGACGGCTGCCACTGGAATGGATCCAGAGGATACGTGGCGCCACGCAGCCTTCTGGCCACCCCATTTATACCCTCCTCGACGCTGCCGCCCTGGTATCAACCGCTCCGCTCGACCTTTCGGACGACTCAGCCGCGCCCGACTTCACAGCCTTGAGCTTCTACAAGATCTTCGGGTTTCCCGATCTGGGAGCTCTAATAGTCCGGAAGGCCTCGGGTGATGTTCTCCGCCAGCGGAATTATTTTGGCGGGGGAACGGTAGACTCGGTAGCTGTGCTGGGTGATAGCTGGCACGCGAAGAAAACCCCGTCGTTGCACAGTAGCCTCGAGGATGGGACTGTGGCATTTCACAGCATCATTGCACTGCAGACAGCCCTGCATGTGCACAGGAGTCTGTATGGGTCCATGGATAACGTTTCGAAACACGCAAATTTCCTGGCCTCAGCACTGCGAGATCAGCTGCGCAGCCTTCGCCATGCCAATGGGAGCAGGATCTGCATTATCTATCCTGACGCACTTACGGATTCTCCCACCCAGGGACCAAATATCGCATTCAACCTGAGAGACAGCCACGGCCGATATATAAGTAATGCCGAGGTCGAGAAACTTGGAATCGTCAAGGGTATACAGTTCAGGACTGGGGGTGTTTGCAATCCTGGCGGCGTCGCGCGCGACCTGGGGCTCTCTACGGAGGAGTTGCGACAGAATTATGCGCAAGGTCAACGGTGCGGAGATGACAACGACATTATCAACGGGAGACCAACGGGTATAATCCGGCTGAGTCTGGGTGCAATGAGCAACATGAAGGATGTGGCGACCTTCCTCGAGTTTATCAAAGAGTTCTACATGGACCGCGACGGACCGATGCAGACGGAAACGCATCCACCGGTAATCGGATCAACCTTGAGGCCACAAAGTTTCGTGGTAGAGAGCCTGTCGGTCTTCCCAATCAAAAGTTGCGCAGCATATAGAGTCCCAAGCGATATGCTGTGGGAAGTGGGACCAAAAGGACTTGCGTGGGATCGAGAATGGTGTCTGGTCCACGAGGGCACCAACGTTGCACTGAGTCAGAAGCGCTTCCCCAGGATGGCACTCATTTGGCCCGAGATTGACGTGGAAAGGAACGTCCTTCGGGTTTCGTTCGTACCAGGGTCTTCGCAAAACAAAAGAACGCTTGTCCTCGGTTTGGACTCACACGCCATACGCACCGACACGATTACCAAATGTGAACGCACAACCAATAGATCATCCAATGTATGTGGCGAAAATATCCAAGTCCATGTCTATACTTCTCCCGAAGTAGTGGACTTTTTCACCGAAGCGTTAGGGGTTCCTTGTACGCTCGCGAGGTTTCCTAACGACGGTACCATCAGGCAGGCTAAAGTGCGAGTGCCTGGGTTGCAGCAGGGCAAACAAGCCACCGAGGTCGGAAAATCAATCGCCTTGTCCAATGAAAGCCCGATCTTACTTGTTTCTCGGTCCAGTGTGAATCGTCTGAATGAGCACATCAAGCAGAACGGTGGCATAGGCAGGGCTGTCACCGCCGACTCTTTCCGCGCCAACGTCGTCATTGCGGAGGACCTTGAACGAGGGCAAATGGAGTCGCCATACATCGAGGATGAGTGGGCAAGCGTCCAGATTGGAGATGACCGCGCAAATGCCTTCGAAGTCCTGGGGCCATGCCAACGATGTCAAATGGTTTGCGTAGATCAGAAAAGCGCACAGAGGAGGCAAGAACCATTCAGTACATTGGCGAAGACAAGGCGCAAGGACGGCCGAGTGTGGTTTGGCGTACACATGTGTTTGAAAGCTGGCCACCTGGCGGATGATTTCTCTCATTGGCCGCCTGTTAGCATCAAGGTTGGAGATCGACTTACGCCATGGACGGCAAGCTGAAGTGGTGCCTGTTCACAGAGTTCGATAGTGTGGCTCCAGATAATAGTCCCTGAATTGGTATATCCTGTCATCTGTCCGAAGTGACCCGAGAAAGAAAACGCATCTCAGATCTCATCGCAACTGGGTCCAACCCTAGTTCCAGAGATTTCGAAGCGGCGGCCACAGCTACAGCGATGCAGCGGTTGAAGGACACTGTCTCAGCCCACGAACCAGCGTAGAGTGGGTCAGCACCGGCGCATCTGCCGTTTCAGAACCAAAAGAACAATTTCGAGGATTTGCTGTGGAACAGGCATGGGTTTTGGCTTCCCTCCGGTCAAACGACCTACCTATCTGACATAATAGTCGTTTGTGATGAAGCCGAGTGTCTGCGTTGTAAGCTCTCAGCAGATTTCATTTTGATAGACTGCCACATAATATCAGCTGGAATCCTCCGAGCTAGCAGCTGGATCTGATTTGACATTGGAAGTGACTGCCAAAACACTATTATACTCCCAAGTCTGTTTGGTAACAAGCGTGTCGTTGGGCTGGCTGATAATTTTCTTGAGGCTCATCACTCGGGGTAATCGGCGAGCTCGGGATTTAGATGAAACCGGCAGCTTCCAGTGGCGCACTGGAGGTTGGGGAGCCTAACAAGCCACAAGGCCAGGCAAGGATGACTGCGGGTGCAGCGGGGGTATTCCCTGTCCCGCTCACTAGTTAGGCAGTTGAAGCACCTTGAGCCTACAAACGAGTACTGGTACGAGGACTCGAAGACGTGTGCTGTGGCCGCGTTTGGATGCTCTTGAGGCATGTCTCACTGAGTATAGGGATCAAACAACGGCTTTTTTCCTGTCCATGAGACATAATCCCCTGTACAAGGTACCTCAGAGGTATTCAGTCGATGCCGTCTTTGCGAGGTTGGCCATCCAAGCAATCATCCACAGTCCAATGAGATGTGCGACGTCCTAATGGTGACCAAGACGCCCAGTCTAATCTAGTGTTCCCTTCTGTTGTCACTGGGAGAAAAATCCGACAAGACTGCACATTCGTACTCGGTACAGGACAAGATTACTCGTAATCCCTGGGTGGTCCGCTAAGAAGGTAATGAAGATCACAGTTCAGAGGGAAGGGAGCGGGAAGTTTTCAGTCAGACTGGGTGACTGGGCGCATGGTCAGCGTTGGGACGTCAGCCACAGAACAGCGGTACCTGAAAGCCTTGTTCACCTATCTGTTTCGATCATGAGTCGTGGGGAGGGTCTTCTTCCAGTTTAGTGCACGCCACCCGGCCTGTTCTCGTAGAAAAGGCCTCAAGATTTTTGTAAGTCGAGTCGATAACCTGGCCGAAATAGGACAGCACCTCGACGATTTGGGAGAAACCAGTTGAAGCAGAAAATGGAGCGGAGTTGGATCCTAACCAACAATGTCCAAGAGCGTGTGACGTTGTTGGCGAGAGCTCACCAAGAGCTAGCTCACAAGACGAACTAGTGATGGTGGTGGTGTTGGTGGGCTCCCTAGGTGAGTGTGGTTGGAGATGAGGGAGGACGATTGGCTGAGACGGGCAACCATTGCCAAAGGCGCTCCAAGCTGCGCTGGGCCCTTACCAGCCACCAGCAGCCACCGATGACATGGCGTCATCTCGGGAGTTGGGAATCCTAGGGAGATGCATGGATAGATGTTCCACCGTGGATGTCAATCGAGCGCTGGGAGCGAGGACACAAAGTGAGAGCAAGGAGATTAGAGAGCTTGTCGGGGGAGGCTCGAAGATAGTCCCTAGAGGAAGTCACTAGAGACATGCCCAATGGACAGGAATCCTTACTCGTCCATGTCGGCAGCTCTGAGGGCAGTGTAGGTACGTGATGTTTGGTTCATAGGTACCTAGGTAGGCACGTAGGTATGGCCCCCAGAGTCAACAAGCCTCATGACTGAACCACCCACCACCCTCCAAGCTGCACCTGCACCTGCAGCGGGCACCCGTTCCTGGGGCCGAGGGGGCATCAGGGCGTCATAGGGCAACGTCACTGGCTGAAAGCTCCTCAACACTGCCACTCTGCCACTTCTGCCACACTTCCACACTTGATCCCTTCGCATGGACGTTTGTCAATCAATTCTCCTAACTCACGAATCATTCTTCGTCATTCCACAAACTTGCTCGCTGCTCTTGCTCCTCTCATGTGCCACATCTAAACCGTCCAAAGTCAATCAAGAGATCCCACCGCAAATCAGTGGCTCTAAAGACTTAAGCGACATTGGGGGTGTTACGGGGTAGCCCAGTGTCCTCGTCTCCTCCGTCCACGACGCCACCTGTTTATCTGTTTTCTGTTGCGATCTTCAAGCCGCTTGTGGCCACCCCGGCTAAAGAGAGACAAGTTAAAACGAATCCACGTCCAGCGTCCTGCGGCCCTTAGCTGCCAGGGCTTCTTGAACCTGCCTCTTTTCCTCCCACCCCCAGTCTCCGATCCCACTTGCATACCACGATTCGGTTTGCCTGCGCCTCTTTTCCTCTTTCATCATCCTTCTACTCTCCGTCCTTCTCTTTGTTCCGTCGAACCAGAATAACACGGTGGGCTCGGAGGATCCTCCAGCACAAGTCAAAGCCCAGTCAAGTCCCACCAGCCAAACCACAACGCCGTTCCAAGCAGAACCCACCAGCCAGGGTGCGCCCAAGAGTAGGACCCTTTTATTAGTTTGTTCAGCACGGGCCTGCCTGACTGAGCCACTCGACCTCTCCTTGCTGCTGGCTGTTGTTGCTGGTGCTCCACTCGAATACCGTCACCATCTCCATCGCCTGCAGCCTTCGACCACTGGAACGGTTCACAACCACACGAGTCCTGTCGTTCATCTCTCCCATCCTTTTCCACTCGGCTGGTCGCGAGCCGTCTGCCAGAAAAACCAAAAACTTCTGTCGTATGAGGGCCAACGATCTGACGACCTGACAATCTTTGAGTTCAACCGCTATCTAACGAGCCTCTCACATTCTCGAAATTTGAATCCCCGCTCTCAATCGCGATCCATCAGATTGCAGCTAGCTAGACTGTCAAACGTTCTCGTCATTTCAACTCGACTCTCCCGTTGAGATCCTAACAGCGCTCGTCAAACACACACCTTCCTACCAGTTATTCTCCTACCCTCCTCGCTTCAGTCCTTCCCTTCGCCCTTTTTTGCACACGACTTGAACACAGCGAAATAACAGAACCCTCTCTCTCCTGGGCCGCTGATCCCCAAGCTATATCCCAATCGCATTCAGTGGCGCGCGATTCCTCGACCATTTCCCCTCACCGTCGAATCCTGACCTCTTTGCAACTTTCGCCCGTTGCGCACATTCGTTCTCCTCTTCGCTTGCTCCCTCGAAGCTCGGTCGGACTCGCTCTTTGAATTGAGGTTGAAGCTGTTCATTCGTCCGAACACATAATACACATATTTCAATATACCTCAGCCTAGCTCTTGGAAAACCCGTTCCGCAATTCGATCCTCCGAAAAGCGCCACTGAAAAACTGGCCTACTCAGACAGTGCGTCACATAACATGCTGCGCACTCTTTTTGGTTGGGTGTCTAAGAGATAGGAGAAGAAAGGGACAGGCATTCGTCGGCGCCTATTGTTCGACTTGTCCTTCTATACAATAAGACATCCTGCTCTGCGGTGAGGCTGAGAAGTGCCTCGTACTCAGCCCACTTTTTTCAGCTAGGAAAGCCCCAGCACTGTCCACCCTATGCGCCCTACAAAAGGTACGCCGTCCTCAAGCCTCTGTAATCGTGTCGCAAACCTCCTTGCTTTCTCTCCTGGTGCTACCCTTGACGCCTATCCAGCTCTGTTGAATACAAAAAGCGATGTGGCATGCATGCGGCATTGGACTGAAGAACTTGGGCGCTGACGTTGCACGTAGGTTACAGTGACTTTTGCGACTTCAGATCTCTTTGATGGCTGATTCCAGCCCAGAGCCTAAATTATCCCCAGTGGATTCTGCTCCGACCTCTCCCATATTCGCTAAACCTCCCAGCTCAGGGCTACCTCCTTCCAAAGCCCGGGCTAGTTCGCGCGACGACTTTGAAGAGTCGTCGAGGCCCGGGAAGAGACCGAGACTCGACGGACCTTTCATGACCGCCGCTGCCGCTTTCGCCGAGGAACGACAGAAGGCATTTCAATCTACACCTCCGCCAACATCTGGAACAAGTCCAAATCCGTCGCACCAAGCCCGAAGTGCGCTCATGGGCTCAGACCAGACTGCGACGAGCAAAGCTCCCGAGTCAACATCAGAAATTCCTTCAGATCCCACCACTACCCTCAGTGAACCACTGGCTGTAGTCGCAGAAAACATTCAGCAACTGCCCGCTTCTGCTCCGGAAGGCTCTTTTGCTGGAGATAACCATGCAGCGCTGACCAGTCCCACAAGCATGTCGAGCGGCGGGACGTTGGGCACGCTAGAAGGCATGCCGGGGGTCTCGGGTATGACTACCACCGTGGGCAGCCCACTCGCGCTTGAAGAGACACTCCGCCAGGTGGTGAATGCAGATGCAGGCTCGACTTCTCCTAGCGATGTCGCAAAGACAGGGGCGCTCTCATATCCAACCCCATTCCTACAGCCGCAAGTAGCAGAAAACGCTGCTAGACGAGGGATGAGCTTGCCTCATTCCGGTACACGCCAAGGTACAAAATCTCCTTCCAGCAAAAAACATAGATGCCCCTATTGCGCCACCGAGTTTACTCGTCATCACAATCTGAAGAGCCATCTGTTAACGCATAGCCAAGAAAAACCCTACGTCTGCTCGACCTGTTCATCGCGATTTCGCCGTCTTCATGACCTCAAGCGGCACACCAAGCTTCATACCGGCGAAAGGCCTCATATATGCCCTAAATGTGGCCGGAAGTTTGCTCGGGGGGATGCATTAGCGCGCCATAACAAAGGGCCGGGGGGTTGCGCCGGCCGGAGATCCAGCATGGGCAGTTTTGGTGGGGAAGAAGAAGTGGACGTGGATGAGTCAATGGAGGGAGTGGTCTATGGCGAACCTGAACCTCTAGAGGATGAAGAGGGCAATGACAAACGGCCGGGTATCCGTCGACAAGCACCTTCAGGGGATGACACGTTAGACGACCCGGCCCACACCTCTCGAATTCCGAGCACATATCCCCCGATACAGGGACGCCCCCCTGGAGGGATCGCCAGTGGACAGTTTCCTCCTAGGACCGGGTTCAGCCAACAGAATGCAGGCCCCAGCAATGCTGCCGTACCGTCGGCCGCACCAATGCCATTCCCACCCATGACCGGGTCATCCTCCAGCTCACGGCCTTCAGCTCCAGGTACCGTTTATCCGCAGAACCCAATGACAGAGAGCCCCAAACCTCTTTCTCCTGGTCAAACACACAGGGGCGGTCAAGGCCCCGGAGGCGAAGGTAGCGTTGGCAGGAACCGTTCCCCAAGCACGACCTTTTATCCACAATCGCACACACGATCCGGAGGCGGTTCAGGTTCCTCTCTCGGTGTGCCTGCGGGTGGTCCACAGCTACCACCTCCTCATGTGCTTAACCCGCCGGATGCAAGATACACTCTACCCAGTCAAAGCGGGCCGGCCCATCCCCCTACTCAGCCTAGCGGGCCACCGACTCACATGAGCGGGAGTGGTCCCTTGTCGTCTCACAGCAATAGTCTGTCGAGTCATGGCTATTCCGGGCATGGCAGTGGAGAAACATCCAAAGTCATGTTCGCGCAAGAGGAGCGCCTATGGGCATATGTGACTAGCCTGGAGCAAAGGATCAACAATATGCAAGAGGAGATTAATTCATTGAAACATCAATTGGCTAGCGCTACGCAGCAACAACAGCAACAACGGGTTTGAAACGTCTATCAGTATAATAAAGAGCACTCTTAAGCAACAACGATTTTGCTCGCCGACCAAAAGGAAGGGAAAAGTGAATACGACGCTACAGATATTGTTCGAGCTCGATGAGCAGCTCGAGTACGAAAAGTGAAAACATGGCACAGTCAAAAGCATTGACGTACGTATGCTGCCGGGGTTTTTATCCGATTCTAGCATTTTGCTTGGCCTTGTTACAGATACCCCTCATGTTGCATCTTTTTCTGCCTCTTTTCTTTTTGATTTGCTTTATTCAATGGGACATTGAAGAGTTCAAAGACCGGGCGTTCTCTGTGTATGTACACGATCTTGGGTGTTGAGGCAAGACGGCAGGTTGGACCAGGCCTTTCGACACAGGAAACAGGAACGCGACAGCGCCATGATGATCTCAGTGCTCGTGACATGGGGGGAATGTTGGGCGAGGACAAAAGCCGACAAGGTATGGGATCGGAAATGAGTTCATTGACTAATGGGCCAGATGATTGTGTTGTTTCACTTATTTCACACCAATGTGTATATGTACATTACAGAATTTTCCCCATATTTTCACTTGAAGAAAGGCCAAAAGACCTCACCAGGTCTGGGTGCTTGATTGTCACATATAGGCAGTCACACCAGAAGAGGGCACGCCGTCATGAGCACCGTGGACACAACTATTGGGATCAAAAAAAGGTTGTCCCGGGAATCATCATGTTCATGATCAAACGGGATCCTGATGGAATATGCACTGCCAACCCCTGCTACTGGCCCTTTATCAGCTGTACCAAGTATTCATGCATTCTATCGAGTCTACAATATGTCTTGAAAACAAGGGAATCCCGTGTGTCTTACCGTGAAGAACTCGCGGGTCATTGCGGTGGCACGTAACCGTCCACATCTGTCGAGTTGCTGAGTTCGGCATACTTTGTGTAGTTCTGTTCGTACTGCTCCAACTTGTTCATGACCGCCTTGTAGGCGTCGGTGCCGACGGCGACCCGCAATGGCGGGTTGGGCATGACGGCCAGCTCGTACATGGCTTTTGCGCCCTTTTTAGGGTCCCCTGCCTGTTTGCCATGGCGGGCGGTCATATGCTTCTCGGCGTCAAGGTCTGAAATATCTGTTAGTGATAGGTGACGGGGCGAGCTAAGGTGGAGGAGGGACAAGATGAGAAGAGACATACGGTCATACGCAGGGTGGCGTTTTGCGAACGTCATCGAGCGACCAGCCCAGTCTGTTCTGGAGGAATGTTAGTAGGGGCAAGCATGAAATGAACGAGAGCTTCGCTGGTCATTGCGTCTGTGGCGGCGATAACTCGTGTATCTGTCACAAACCACCCACCATCGCACCGTGACAAGCAGGGAGAGATAGAGCCCAAACATACCTGAAGCCACCTGGCTCGATCAGCGTGAACTTGATCCCCCACTCGGGCTTCACCTCATGGCTAAGAGCTTCCGTAAAGCCCTCGACAGCCCACTTGCTTGCACAGTAGATGCTGAAGAACGGCACCCCTCGCTGTCCGCCAACGCTGGTGATCTGCTGGATCAAGCCGCCCTGAGGTTTTTGCTTGTCCCTCATGGTCTCCAGCGCCTCGCGGGTGACGTCCAGGAGGCCGAAGAAGTTGATCTCCATCTGCTGCCGGATTTGCTCCTCGGTGCACTCCTCGAAACAGCCCGCGAGACCGTACCCGGCGTTGTTGACCACGACGTCGACGCGGCCGAATTTCTTCAGTGCATCGGAGAAGGCCTGCTTGATTGACGCTTTGTCAGTGACGTCGAGGCGCAGCGCCAGGTATGTGTCGGGGGTCGTGTTTGCGAAGGAGAGCTTGGTCGGGTCGCGGGCTGTCGCGACCACAATGTCGCCGCGATCTAGGACTTCTTGGGCGTAGTCATGACCGAAGCCAGTTGACGTGCCGGTGATCAGGAAGACTCGAGGCATTGTTTTTTTGGAGGGGTCGATATCGGGTGATTTGTGTCCACAGCGGGTTTCAGGGTGTATTACGCAGTGATGGGATGGCTGCTGATTGGGTGATCAATGGGTTGGCTCTCAGAAGACAAAGCAAAGAGGACAATCAGTCGAAGATACAAGCGTGTATATTGACAATGTCGCCTTGGTGTCGGTAACCCTCTTTACCTCGAGGAACTCGGCAAACTCTTTTCCGAATTGTCAACGATACCCAAGAATGACTCTCGCCGAACTTACTCCACGAAAAACTTGGGTTTGGACCGTATCAGTGTCGGGATCCTGATTTCTTACCCGATTGTCCGCATTTGTGCTTTTCTGGGTTTCTACGGGGGACCGAAGGGCGAATCGCAACCAGAGAAAGGACACTCGTCAAGCTCACTTGCAGCTCTGCCCCCACCGCGAGAGAACTACATCTCATCCCCCCCGCGAGCCGACCCAGCCTGGTACATCTTTAGAGAATAAGAGGCAGAATGTGTCTTGAGAAAGAGAGGACAAAGGACAAAGGACTAAAGACCAGGACGTTTCAGCAACCGAGTCTCTGTACGTAATTTGTCGTGGACCGCAATTGATCGTCATTTTGTCTTCCACCCTTGGTTGCCGCTTCTGCGCCCAAGGAACGCCGTATTTCGTGGCTTTTGGTCTGCAATTTCGCGGGCCCCTCGAAAGAGCTGGATACGAGGGTACAACATCATCGGGTGTCGTCGACACGAGGCGAGCTGAAGACCCGATAGCCGACGGATACGGGCGTTCTAGCGAAAAAGATACTTTCATATCCATTGCCGTGGGAGGTTGATTCCCGTTTCACCTCGACCGCCTCTTCATTCTAGAGTAGGCAGAGTTCCTGCAAGGCTAGGAGTGCTTTTTGCCACTTCCTCCACCTGCATTATCTCAACACCGGCTCGACACGTACCGGATCCCTGGACCTTTTCGAAGTGGCACGAGCGGGCGACACCAATCCGCTGGTCTGCCTCTCTGCTCGACTTCTTGGTTTGCTGACTCCCGCATCTCGGCCAAGCTCCACTTGCCGCTGCTGACCGCGCGTCTCTCAAGAGCTGTACAGATGCGTTGAACCTTGAACGAAAGAAAGAGACATTGGTAGCAAACCTTGGGACGACGACGCTTTTGGCACTTGGATAGGACTTTTTGGCCCTCTGCGTCGCGGTCGAAAGGTTCAGGACAACTGTTGCGCAGATTCGTCGTGGTCAGGAGCGTAGAGATTGGATCCAGGAGCCTTGGTGCCTCATTCCAGCCTTGCAGACAAGCTTCTCTTCAGTCAGTTTCCGACCATGTGGAACAACTCGCCCCATTATTACCCTCACCAGGGCCCTCCTGGGCCCTACATTCATCGTCAATCGGTCATGAGCGACCAGATGTCCGTCTCTTCTGGTACGACTGGAGTCATGAGCCAGGGTAGCCAGGCCAATCCTCAAAGCTACACCATCCAACAACCAAACCCTCACGCCTACGGCAATACAACCACGTACTTTTACCCAAGCAGCCACGTCCACAATCTACCTTCTCACCAACAAGCCCAAAACCAACCTTACATCTCGTCACCCCCAATAAGCACAGGTCCACCGCCATCGCTAACAAACATCCTGCTTACTTCCGCGCCGCAACAGTTCGCGCACGCGACAGAACACCCCTTCCTTCGTCTGGCAGGACAGGGTAAACTACCCAAACACATATTATCACGGTGGCTCTCCCAAGACCGGCTCTACGCCCAAGCCTACATCGGCTTCATCGGCTCTCTCATCGCCCGCGTCGACTTACCCTACGCAAACGTCGCGGATAAATCGACGTCATTGCGCTGGCGCATCGTCGATTGTCTGAGTGGCGCCTTGCAGAATATCCACACCGAGTTGAAATTCTTCGCCGACACCGCTGCCAAGTACGGTCTGGAGTTGGACGCGCCCACACGCGCCGATGGCATGTTTACCGCTGAGCAGGCCACAAAGCAATACATCGACTTGTTTCGAGCATTTTGGACCGATCCCAGTATGAGCCTGCTCGAGGGTATGGTTGTGCTGTGGGCGACCGAGACCGTGTATCTGAGCGCATGGAACTACGCCAGGTCTTTCTGGGAGAAGCCGACCGCCGAGGTGGGTCGGAACGAAAAGGAGACGACAAAGTCGGAAGGTGTCATGTCAGAGTTGGAAGGGAGTGAGGTCAACACGCTGATCAACGACAGCGAGACCACTGGCAGGGACGGGAACGAAAATAGTACCAAGAACAGCGAGAACGACAGAGCCACGGCCCCCAACACAGAAGGCCACAACGAAACTCTTCGCCACTCGAGCGACCTGGACGGCGGGGCCCTCCGAGACGCCTTCATCCCCAACTGGACGAGCAGCGACTTTGAGGTCTTTGTCGCCGAGATTGCCGAGCTGACCGACCTCCTGGCCGAGCGCGAGGACGCCGTCAACCGCAAGCTGGACGTGTACCGCGCCGTGTGGAAGCATGTCTTGGACGTCGAGCGGCGGTTCTGGCCTGATGTCAGTGGTGTTGTAGGAGCTTGAGAGAGATTGACTGACTGACTGACTGACTGACTGACTGACTGACTGAGCAACTGAGCAACTGAGTCACCGGTGGAATTTTCCTCATTCGCTTATATGTGTGTACGTACAGGACACTTGACCTGACGGTGCGGAATGCGAGCGTGGCGGAAATGTACCAAATGTTACGATTTGCTTTGATTGCGTTGTGAACATCTGGTCTCTCATACATCTATGAATGTATGTATGTATGTGCGCACGTACTTTGGATATATCTATCAATCCATCTATCAATCCATCTATCAATCCATCTATCAATCCATCTATCAATCCATCTATCAAGGATCCTCTGAGACCCGATACCTGGGGAAAAAGGACGTCTGGGCTCAACTCGACTCAACTCTGCGTCCTAGTGGACGCTTTTATTATCATTGGCATCAGACATTGTCATTATCATGTTCGTGGTAATCGTCCGAGTCTACATAATACCTGGTGATAGAAATTCCCCGTGTACCTTACATGTGACCAGGATGCCCAGGAAAATAAAATGGCTTGGACATTATGTGGTGGGACCTCCAACTCTGCTCCCTTGCGCTGCTCGGCGCGGCGGAAGAGCTTATCTGCCGACACAGAGAGGCCTCGACCTCGACCTCGACTTCGACTCAACTGGCGGTGGTGGGTCCGGTTTCTCCATCTGGCAAGTCAAGTCGCTACAGAGCAGACATTCGAGTAACCGCTATTCGCGCGCAAGATGTTCCAAGATCCATGGACGAGGTAGAGCAAGGCCATGAATATCGCAAAGCCACGTCCGCATTATGACAGCGACTTGGACCTGCCGATCTTTTCATCATTGAGCGATTAGGCTCAGATGGGTCACAGTTTTGCCCCGACCAAAGCTCCAACAAAGTTCCACAAAAGTTCCAGCATTGGCATGGCTTGTCATCAATGCGCAACGATCACAATTTGTGACTCTTTCCATCTGCGGGGTCCGTCGGCTAGTATAGTCGGCAATGTAGACTCCAAAAATGGATAGCTATACTCCTGCAGCCATCTTCTGCCCAGAGGTTGATGGCACGACATATGTGTAGGATGCGTTCGTTCCCGAAGTTGAGGTGATGCGTCCACATGTGCCAAAATATCGATCGACGTCGAGCGAGCCAATGGTTTGATCCGGCACTTATCCTTATACAGGCCGAACATTGTCGGCGTGCCAGAATCCCATCACCGCCCCCGTCTCTGTGACCCAATCTCTCGTGGCATGAACAGCCGCCTTGGCCATGCCGGTATTCTTCCTTCTATGACCCTTCTTGAAGCCAACACCTTCTCTTTCGCCCGTGGCATACTCGGATCCCATACTCGGCAAGACATTCTCTCCGGCACTGAGGCTGACGAACAGTGCGAATGGGACGAGCCAAACGCACAGTCCAAAGTAAGACGCAATCTCGGTAAAGGTGGGTTGGTCATATACTGGAGGTGCTGAATACCAGTCCCGCCTGCTGCTCGGTGGTGCACCCCGATATGGGCCTCCTCTTGTAGTTACATCGCTGAAGTGTCTGAACCATAGCCAATGATTGAGGATGACCAAGGCACAACTCGAGAGGAAAAAAGGATCTGACAGTTTCACAATAGGGAAATGCCGCAAGTTCGTCGCGTAGACGCCGTGACTGACCACACCCAACAAGGTCAAGTACCAGGGGAATCCATCAACGAGCCAGAGGAGCAACTGTGCGGCGACGACGGCGTAAATCAGGCGCTTTAGAAGTTTTGCACTGAGGACCGTGTGCTCTTCGACCAGCTCAGAGAGGTAATAGAGGCCCGAAGCGATGGAGAGAGTCAGGAATCCGAAGCCGAGTATGAGGCCGGTGTACCCCACGATGGGGAGAATCCACATGATTCGTTTGTGTGCGCAAGTAGGACGAGTCGATGTGGCCGGAAGATTAAGAGTCTGCAACGACGATAGCCGGAATCAGAGAGGTAGATGGCAGGATGGGAAAGGCCATCGAAGGGGGAGGCGGAGGAAGAGAGGAATTCGGGAGTCGCGTTGAGACCAAGCTGTTCAGTCAATACAATAGACCAACCGACACGAGGGGGGTAAAAATGACACTTTGACAAACACGAGACAAAAAGCCTGCGCAGAGTGACGTCGATTCAGCCTCAAAAGGGGTTCTTGGCATGTTTGCTAACCGGCGAGGCGGCCACAATCGGCTGGCACGAGCGGCAAAGAAAGCAGGGGCCACCGCCCGCGAATCGCTCGCCGGTGGATTCTTTTACATATCAAAATGTACCAGTACGGGGAACTACCGGAGTATGAGGTTTATTTCATCGACAACTTATCCACTCAGTTATCACGTCCAATATGAACAATCAACGGGATCAGAAATGGTATTTGTATAAAGTGTTGACATGGCCAAACGACCCTTGATGCACACGCTTTTCGACCAGCAACATTCCCGGTCCAACCGTGTACCATGGTTGGACTTCTAACGAGTAGACTTGATGTACACAACCAGAGTCGCTTCTTTGCGCTGACAATATACCCTTGCCCCCCTGAACATCATATCGTGTTGTACATGTATATATATCCCATTCCTTCTCTTTCCGTCCGTGACATGTCCCGCAACCTTCGTTGGTCTCGCGTGGAGAACTTTAGCGACCGCCACTGCTGCGACTACTCCAGTCGCGATGATCTATCGTCGGGTCTTCGTACTCGACACGGTAATCGATCGAGTGCATGATCACACCGTCCGTGAGACCTTTGACGCTCTCAGATGTATTGTCTGGCTGTCGCCCGTTGGCACCCCGCGAGCGATTTCTCGACGTGTTCAAAATCGTGTCGTCGTCGTCATTGTCGCTACGGCTGCGCACCGTGGACGTGATTTCGGCCTTGCTGGTGGTCGCAAATCCCAATCTGGTGGCGATCTTGCTTCCCATGCCGCTGCCCGCGGCGTATGTGAGCCCGGCACCGGTCTTACCAGCGGAATGCTCCAGTTCGAAAGGCTCAGATATGGTGATGGCACTGAGACCAGCTGCCCAGTCGGCCAGGAAGCGCTTGATTGAGGGGATGCAGGCCGTGACGATTGATAGATTCAAGGCACAGGATGTCCAGACGGAGGGTGTGACGGCGTGCCAGGTGCGATCTTGGGGAACAGAGTGATAGAAGTCGTCGTATGCGACAATCGAGACTGCTGTAAACACGGGTGTCCTGCAAAGGTCTTCAGTCAGCTGTTCATTGAAAGCAGATCTGGTACAACTTACGCCAGTCTGATAGCGAACAATGTGACCACCATCCACCGCTTAGCATTCGGAACTTGGACCGATCGCATCATCAGTGCTGGTAAGAGCACGATTCCTACGTCGATGGCGATATCCACGGCTCGCACTGCCACCTGCATCGCATATTGATCGATGCAAGTCTGTGAATCGGCACCCGAGCTGGGGCCGATTGACCAACGGTTTGGTGAACATTGGAAGGCAACGACGAACACGCTGACTACCCCCCAGAGTGCAATGAAACCGAGCATCCCGTAACAGGCAAACATGATGGCTCGTAGTGGCTTGATGGCAATGATAAGCAGAGTCACCGCTGCTTTGGCACAAGCCAACGCCAGGATGAGGAGAATGTTGGAAGCATAAAACAACTGATGGCACGTCAGCCACTTCTAACCGCGTGATTCGTTGCCACAGGAGTCCTTACTTTGCTAAACTCGATGAGATCCGGTTCCTTGATCGCAGTTTCGTGTCGACCCAATCCCTTCTGAGCCGCGAGGGAGAGGGAAATAGTTTGGCCGTATGCCAGTGCCTGCAGCAAAGACGAGTTAGCAGACTGTCCCAGCGCACTCCAAGGGACATGTTCGTACAATTGCGGCGAACATTGCAATGTCGTTGGCCCCAAAGTTTCGAGTTGTAGCATATCTCGTCCATAATTTGACACCCACGGTCAACGAAGAAATAACGAGCAGGGTCACTGCCGTGGCCAAGGCGATGGGACCACGATCCTTGGGGGTGATGTCTTGCAACGGAGGGAGGAGGGGTTCATAGATACCACCTTGACCAGTATCGCTACCAGACATGATGAGAGTGACCGTCCTGCGAGAATAGTCTAGATACACCCTCCTTCGAAAGTCCTGGTAGCGGAGGAGTGGACGACCCCAAGGGGGGAGGCGAGGATATGGTATATCTCTGCCGGCCAAGCTGGGCGTCGCTGTTACTTGGAATCTTGGAAACGAAATGCACGGTATACGGAGCAGTCAATGCCTCAAAGGCGCCCTAGCCGATGGCCCCCGTTGCCCAAGCCAACTCCGTACAGCAAACACGTGAAGGGAAAAGCGCTGGCCAATCCACGACCCTGGCAGGTGTCAGGAACAGCGCTGCTAATGCACCAGGGAAAGGGAACAATGCGACGAGCATGGGCCGTTCGCCGGGGGCCGCCACCATTGATTCATTTCCCGGACTAGGTGACCAGGCCAGAAAGGTCCCCCAAACCTTCTGACCGACTTTGAAGCGAACGGCTCAAACGGGCTCTGCACAGCAAGGCTCTATGTAAGGATATGTTCTGGACTCTAGACAAGTTCACTCGTATTGCTCACGGTGAATCCCGTAAGACTTGTAGAACTGCCAACGGTGATGAAATGGTCTCTCGTCCATTTCAAAGTTGTGACAGGGCGATAGTCACCACGTTATCATGGGTCGTAATACTGTTGACTTCCCACTCTGGCGATCCAGCCACTTCAGCCTCTCAGCATCGACAAGGCACTTCACCCATGAACGGGGGCTCTGGACTGGTCTGCGAGCTGTCTCCATTGCTTGCCAGGCTCGCTTGCGCCAATCCCCCGAGACGACTGGCGAGAAATTGCTGATCACTTAGATCAAGCACGGAAAAACATTGCGGTTCAGGGGCTATTCGAGCTGGAAAAGGCTTGCGAGGCAACGAATGACCAAAGTTCACGACCAGACTCATCACACAGCTTTGCCCATCAGCTCACCACAACGGTGGCGATCCCATTGCTCGAGGCAGGGACCAGGCA